ATGGGATGAATGTCTTGTCCGCATCTACGCAAGTTGGCCCGATTCCTCAAAGAAGTCAAAAACGCTTTTTAGCGCAAGCCCTTTAATTACTGGCACCCACTAGTTTCTCGGTGATAGTAGCGTCGCGGCTCTTGTACTGATACCATAGTCGGTGTGTGAACAGAGTTGTAGAGCGGAGTTTTGTTACCGTTCAGTAGAAAACAAAAAGGGAAAATGCCCTCTATGGTACGCGTATCCTGACTCTTATACATAGGAGATGCCAAGTGGCTCTTGTTCAAGTTCACCGGAGCTCGTAAAATGGAAGAGCAGGAAAATAGAAAAAAAAACCCGTGAGATAGTCGGTACCGTCAACGCCGAGCATAATCTCAACGTCTTGGCCGGTAGCTGTACGCATTGATTGTGCGCATTTTTCTAATGCTCCCCCATGCCGGCATTCTCGGCGCGCAACGCCCAAAAGTCTGCGCACCCCACCGAGAGGCAGCCGCAGCCACTCATCGACCCTGTGCAATTTCACCATCAGGCGCCCAGGGCCAAGACCGCTAAGAGGTTCCAGGGATTGAGGGATTGGCAGCGGCCTTGCGCTTGTGCGAGGTGAGAATTTGGATGTGTTGTGAAATGGCTGGCCAACGGAGCAGCAGTTCTTCACACACACACGCGCGCTACGTACAGATACCTGCACGATGCGAGCTGATACGGGGCGTCAGCGCAGAGCCCCAGGTATCGCTACCTTACCTGCGCACAGGCACTGGCCGTGGAGGTACCGGTACTCGTGGGCCGCAGCTTCCGGGGCCACGTCCCCCAAATTAGCCCAGGCCCTGTGTGTCTAACGATAGCGCCTGAGCCCGACGCCATCTGCGCGCTGCTGTGCTTGTTCGTCGCTGAGCGAAAAGAGCCCGGGTGCCCGCTGAAGCGCGCTAAGGAGGGAGCGGCGCTGGGTTAGACGAGCGTCTTGCCTTCAGAAGAAAAGGCGGCGTGCGAAAGAAAAACCAGCAAAGAAGGGAGAAAAAAAAAAAAAAAGGCGCCAGTTCTTTCTGCGTACCACTGCCGTAGCCTGGCAGTCTTACTGCTCCGAGTTAGTGCTTGTACCGCTACCCGCGGCGCCTCGTGCAGATTTCGCTCTCCGCCCGGTACAAAGTGCCTTGGCCCAAGCCCGAGAATACAAGGTTCTTGCCGGGCTCCAGCGCCACACACACGCCCATCCGCACCGTCGGAGGTACCTTCAGCGCCAGCTGCACCTTGTCATCATTGCCCTGTCTTACCTCACCTCTGCTGCCACTTACGAACCAAGACCCTCTCGTGCTGCCTTTTGCTGAACCTTTACATACTAGACTTGTCCCCTCCTCCTCCGCTTGGCTTCATTCTCCTTTGTCCTCTCCTATCCCCAACGCCTCGCCGCTCGTCTCTTCCCTCGCCTTCCCCTCTGGCGCTCCTGGCCTTTCCCGCCCGCAGTGTTTGGAAGAACAACAGCCCGCCGCCGGTTCTGTTGCTTCGCAAGCCCCCTGCTGAGCCTCCGACTCCCGTCAGTTCGGCCTGTGGAACCTGCTGCTCGTCGTCCCTTCGACCCCGTCGCCGACGACTTTTTTTGACCAGCTCTGCACGTGCTCGTTGCATCTCTCATTCGATCACGCTCTTGCGCGGAATTTCTGGCTCTTTGGGATTGTCCTTGGGTATTATGAGGTAGCGTTTGGGACAATCTGCTGTATTCCTACCTTCCCGGGCTCGAGCCGACGAGCATCGACTCCTTTTTTGTCTCCACAACCGTCGCTTTTTTGCTACAAAGAATCGCGACAACTCCTCGCTTCGCATTTCTACGACGACGGGTTTTTTCGCTTTTATTTTCTTGAACATCTTTTTTGGGACAGATTGTAAAAAAAGAAAAAACTTCACGATGGATCTTGGATCGGGAAAGCCCAAGTTGCCGGCGCTCCTCACCGAGCATGTCAACTTGGCGTTCCTCAACCGTCTTCCCGCCCGCTACGCCCGCCGGCGCCCCCGGGCAAAGTCCAACACGACGCATCGCGGTGAGGACATCACGAGCCTGCAGACGTCCTTCAACTTCTGGGACGGCCTGCGAGACCTGCAGAAGCACCACTGGCGACTCTCCGACCTGCAATACGCCGTGCTCATTGGCTTGACGCTCTTTTCGCTCTGGATCGCTCCCCCGGCCGCGGCTTTGAAGCTGTTTGCCCTCATGGGCGCTACCTGGCTTCTCTGCATGCCTGCCACTCGCCAATTCTTCCTTCCGTCGCTGCCAATCTGGGTCTGGCTCGTTTACTTTTTCTGTAGTCGGTAAGTTTTTTTCTCATGACCCGCCATTGATGGTGGCCCTGGTGGTGAATCGGCTCGCTAATCGCATCTCATTTCCTCCCCTCAGATTTATTCCTACCGAGTATCGTCCTCACATCTGGGTCCGAATCCTGCCTGCTCTGGAAAACGTTCTCTATGGCGCGAACCTTTCCAACATTCTCTCGGCTCACAAGCATGCTATTCTCGACATTCTGGCTTGGCTTCCCTATGGCATCATGCATTTCGGAGCCCCTGCTGTGTGCTCTGCAATTATCTTCGTCTTCTCAGCTCCCGGCACCACTCCTGTCTTTGCTCGTGCTTTCGGCTGGATGAGCATCCTCGGCGTTTCCATTCAGCTCATCTTTCCCTGCACGCCGCCATGGTATGAGAATGAAAACGGCCTTGTTCCCGCCGCCTACGGCATGCATGGATCGCCCGCTGGATTGGCTCGTGTTGATGCCATTTTTGGCATCGATCTCTACACTACCAACTTCACCAATGCCCCTCTACCTTTTGGTGCTTTCCCCTCTCTCCACGCTGCCAACGCCGTTCTCGAGGCCTTGTTCATGAGCCACTGCTTCCCTCAGTTCAAATTCTTCTTTGCAGCTTACGCCGGCTGGGTTTGGTGGGCAACCATGTACCTGAGCCACCACTATGCCATCGATCTGGTGACTGGTGGTCTTATCGCTTCTGCGTTTTACTACTACTGCCGTGCTAGGTGGCTGCCCCAACGCCAGGCCGACAAGCTTACCCGATGGGAGTACGATTACGTCGAAGTCGGCGACCGCCACAAGGTCCAAGACGAGGAGACTGGCCGATACTTTAGCCTTGGATTCATCGACCACCATCGCTCCAACTCCAGCGACGGATGGACTGTCGCCAGCAGCTCCAGCAGCGGCACTCTTAGCCCTACTACTTCCGAAGCTTCTACTCCCGGAATCATGGATCTGACCGGCGACGGGCAGACTTGGGGTGGACATATCCCACCACGGGACGTTGATTTAAGCGAGGTTGTTATTTCGCGGTAATAATTTTCGAAATCCGATCCCGTCGGAAATTCGCTTTACTCGACGAATCAAATTTTCTCACTACTTCCATCTCTTTTATCTCTCAACTCGGCACCTAATACGACGGGATGTCTGAGCGTTACGAACCTGCTTATGATTCAATTCAAAATTCGTAATTAATATTTGGCAGCACAGCCTTTTTTTCTAAACATCTTTGGCATTCATCGGCACAGCGAAATGGCGCAATGTGGTGTTGGCTTTTTTTCTTTTCTTTATTCTTGGTGAAGGGGGGATCAAATCCGGTTTCGTTATTACCAAACCGGATACTGAATACTTAATACTGGAGGGATGGGAGTCTGGATTGGGGAAACACGGGAAAGAAAAGGATATTCTTATTTTCCACTCGAACCTGTCAAATGATTCGACTGCATATATTCGACAAAGGAAAGGGTACTACTACTTCAAATGATAGAGTACGTAATGTATACATACCAAGTGGATAATCCGTGCATGGTGGATGGATAGGATTGAGTACATGCACTGAACGCTCGCTAAGTGAGTCATGAGGATGAGATGGCCACTAACGAAAGCAATGAGCTGGAAGGGACGCATCCGTATTGATGATAATGGGTATGGCTTTCAGACATGAAGGAGGGGGCGGTCTTGGGAAAGAGTTTAACTAGGCCTATGGCGAAGAAGATACCAAAGATGCCGCTCGCTCAACCTTCTAAACAAAAGGTTCAAATAAACAAATGAATAAAAAAAAAGATGAAAGCCAAACTTACAGTTCTGAATGATGAATAATATGAGTGAAAAGAAATTAAGTAATATGAAGGATATCAAATGAGGTGAATGCTATCAAATGATATGAATGATGTCAAATGCTATGAGTGATATCTATTGCAATGAATAATACAAATGGAGGACAATGGAGCAATATGTGCGTCGATATCGGTCAATCATGAGTCTCAAACCATGGCGTGACAATTCGTAATGCTATACGCAAGCCTGTTTCAAGACACAGCATTTTCTCACTAGAAAGATACAGTCACGCAGTAGTTTCAGATACCTGTATGCAGTTTTGTTATATTTCCCATTTATTACTCAAAATTAGGCTTCGATTCCATTGCTACATATAGCTCATATATGTTTCCTTATTCCTTCTCCTCTCTCTCTCTCTCTCTCTCTCTCTCTCTCTCTCTCTCTCTCTCTCTCTCTCTCTTTTGTTTGTAGTTTCCACCACTCAGAGGCTACAGGCGTTGTACATAAAAGAAAGATTAAGAAAATCCATTATATTCTCATTACTTTGACAAATAATGATGAGAACCAAGTATAGTGTAAAGAAAGAAGAGGAAAGGAAAGGAAAGGAAAGGAAAGGAAAGGAAAGGAAAGGGAAGGGTAAAATGTTCAAACTCAATTTTTTTGTTGCAAGCATATGACGGAGGCAATAAGGAACATTCCAAAAACAGCGATATATCAAATCCATCACTTCGTTCTCTCGTAGTTGGGGGAAGCACAAAATAGAGAAGCTCTCTCCCCCCTCAAGTAGATTCTATGAGAAACATGGTTGGGTATCAAGTGGGCTGCCAGCGCCGGTGCACACATACTCATGTTCTCCCTTCTTTAGAGATTTACTCTCGCTCGCTACTTGTCGCTGGCATGCCGAAAAAGAAATGCGTGTTACCATACCTATACGGCAGAGGTAAGCTACCTGGCAGCCTCGGGGTTCCAGAGGCCCTTGCTTGTTTGTACGAGACGGTTGGCCATGTTGCCTGGTTGTAGTGCTGCAGGCACGTCAGACGCAGGAGTTGTGTTGCCCATGACTACATCGTCGGTTGGCCTGTTTGCGCTGGATTCGCTGTCATTGCCCTGGCTGGAGCCCATGGATATGGCACTATCATCTTTTCGAACGCCGTTGACGGGAGCAGGGACGTTGGGGCCAGCGCCGCGGTTGCGCGTAGGCTCTTGGGAACGAGCGCCGTCCATCATGAGATTTTGAGCCTCGCGCAGCTTGTTGATGGCGCGGACAGTATCGATGGCCGCGTGGAGCGTGCGCCGCGCGTTGAAGTTCTTCTTGATCGTGGGCAGCAAGTTCTCGCCGGCGCCGTCTGAAGGAGCGAGACCGGCGACAAAGGGGTGCTGAAGGGCCTCGTGGGCGGTGATGCGCTTGTCCTGGTCGATGGTGAGGCAGCGTCGGATAAAGTCCTTTGCGTCAGAGGAAACACCGCGCCAGTACTCGACCGGAGTGAAGCTGTAGTCAGCATTGAGAATGGCCTGCATCTCCTCAAAGTCGGAGTCTCGGTCGAAGGGAGTGTAGCCGCAGAGGAGGAAGTAGGTGATGACACCGATGGCCCACAGGTCAACGGGCTTACCATGGCCCGTCTTCTTAAAAATCTCGGGAGCCATGTAGCCCGGAGTACCACAGGTCGTGGTGAGTACATGAAACTGCTCCTCGTCCATGATGCGAGACAGGCCAAAGTCGGCGATGAGCAGGTCTGCATTGTCCTCGGGGGTGCGGAAGAGCAGGTTCTCGGGCTTCAAGTCACGGTGGACGATGCCATGGTCATGGAGGTATGCGACGGCGGAAAGGGTCGCCCGGATCAGGTCCGCCGCATCGGATTCGTAGTATGAGCCCTTTCTGCAGATGCGGTCAAACAGTTCGCCTCCGAGAGCCAGGTCTGTGACGAGGTAGAGGTTGTTCATTGTCTCGAAATAGTCGACCAGCGTCAGGATGTTCTGGTGGCCCATGGACACCTTTTTCAGGACGGCGATTTCATTTCGCACCTGTTCTCCCCTCCCAGATTAGAGTCAGCATGTATTCTTCACAAAGGCATAGCGACAGAGTTGTTTCTCGATGGACAACTGAAGAAAGGGAGTTTCTTGCGTACCATGTGTTCTCGCCCCGCCATCAGTCGCTTATTGATAACCTTGGCGGCATAGTAGCGCCCGGTATCGATATGGACGCATTCCTTGACGACCGAGTATGAGCCAGCTCCCAGAGTCTTTCCAACCTTGTATCTGCAAGGCTGGACCTGGGGCTGCTGCTGTGGCTGCTGGCGGCTCATCGTGGGCCGTCTTGGATGGCTGAAGAGCCCGTGGAAGCCCGGATGCTATGCGAGCGCGCGGCGTTGAAGAGACAAGAGGTTGAGAGCTGAGAAAGGTGGCGGAGGGCGTTCAGCTGTCAGCTGCGAAAAAAACGTGGCGGGTGTGCACGACACAAAGCTCTTGTATTGATGCGCCCAAGGAATAAAAAGAGAAAAAGAGCCGCTCAGAAATGATGGATTCTTGCGACTTTGGGTTGGAGGGAAGAGGATTTTGGGCATTTGCGAGCTGGTACGGCTTAAGGGGAGTTTATGGCGGTCTTCAAAACAGAAACCAGGTGGGGGAGGGGCCCAAAGGGGCATCCCAGCCTGGGAGGCTCGATCAGCCTATCATGCCCGAGATTCTGGGGGCTAGCAGAGGCAGCCGGGCCTGTATTTTTAGTGATAGAGGATTACTTTGCTGTGTATTACGGCACAGCACCTCATGTTTGCCGGTCTTTCTTTGCTTTTCGGCCTCTTTCTTTACGCAGTGGATGGTTGCAGGATGTTTCTAGAGAGCTTTATTTAGAAACGAAAGAACAAGCAAGAAAACGACACCAAGTAATGATACACAGCATGATACTGGTGATGGTGTTTGTTATTGTCCGGTGGTTTTAGCTGCAGATAGAGACGATCCCGCCAAGTGCCGGATAGGCAGCTTGGAGTATCGGATCCATGGATAGTAAGTGCCTTAGGTACCTATCCGATGTTCTCTTTACCTACTATTCATCACCTCCTTCTTTTTCACTCTAATCTATTGAGATGCATCTTTCTGTCGGTTTATTTGACAAATACTTGCACCTGTCTCTTCCTTTCCTCAATATGATCTACGCCGAGGCTCGAGTTTCAGAGCTAAGCGGCTGCAGAGAGAGAGGGTAAGCTTACATGGCAACTAGGAACGATGCCGTTCTCTCAAACAGCCAATGGCCAAGAAGGCCACTGCAGGGTTTAGCAGCATGCTGAGCCGATTGGCGGCTGCTATCTAAATAGGTAGCTTGTGGTGCCATTTGGGCTCAAGAATAATCGGGTGAAATGTGCAGACTGACGCAGTCTTCTCTACTGGGGTGGTCCCCTCCGCGATTGTTTTTTGGCACTATTGAATTTTTTGTCCTGGACTCGTGCCTCGTGAAATCGCTTCTCTCTGCTCAATGTCAGCTCACTGTTTTCGTTCGCCCCCAGTATGATGTATACATACACCTCCTGGAATTTCTTCTTCTTGTCAGAGCTTGTTTCGGCGGGAGTCATGTCGCGATAGATGCTCAGCACTTCATCTATAAGCTTCCGCCTGTTCTCATCGAGATTGGCAGACCTTGACCGGTGAGTCTGCGCTGCGAATGTGAGCGAGTCATTACCGGCAGTGTAATACTTTGAAGACCGGACTGCGGGATGGAGAAATTTAGGAAGAACACCAAGTAGCTCGTTCACGGGGTATATTGTTATTGCCTTGGTCTCAGTTCTTTAACCGGCTGATGTTAGCCATGGTTGGCCCCGTCAGAAAGATCAAGAGTTCCCATACTTGTTGACATGCTGGCCTCCAGGGCCGCTGGATCTTGCGTATGTTGTGCTACCTTTGGGCAGCTGTGATGCATCAAACGAGTTATACCACAGCCGCGCCTCGGCCAAGGCATCCTGGTCCAATCGAGCGTCAAATGCTTCGTAGCGTTTGAATCTTATCGACTGAGATAGCAGAGGCCTCGGCTGCCTTGGCGCGGCTGCTGATAGCACTGCTCTTCTTCGCAGATAAGACAGTAGCATGGCGTGGAGAGAGGTATGCCAGTAGCGATTTCTGGTATGCACTCGCAATATTATCCCTTGTCTTCGCTATACAAGCCGCATGTTGGCCCGAGCATGCTCCAACAAAAAAGCTTTGCCCCCTTCACCGAAGCCTTTTCTCATTCGCCGGCAAAATGAGAACAAGGTGGTAGATAATGGTGGTATGGAATACAGGTCGTTATAGGCCCAGGCCTGCTGAGCGTCCCTAAATTAGCGGGCTGGTTGCCTTACCGAGTTTTCCTTGAGCCCCGCGCCGAGTCCTGCCGCGGCCCAAATGGGATTAGCCCCCTGACAGAATTTGAGGCGGCTTCCGTCTGCCTCGAGCTCGCCAGCCTTTCTGCCTCTTCTTTGCTCTTCCAACCAACACTCCCAGCGCCGTCTGCTCTCAACCTCGAAATCTCTTTTCAACGTAGCCCAACCACAGAGCAACACGCCACGGCGCATCTTCCACGAGCTACAGCTCGGCTGTGCTGCCTGTTCCGTCATCAAGGCAACTGCACTTGTCTCGTAGCAGGGCCTAGCTTTTCGTGTCGCGAGCGCCATCGTCCACCTATCTGCGTCCCTATACTACTGCCACCACTACTACTACCTATTACTTGCAGCATCAAAGCATCCTTGCGCGCCCACTACAGACAGCCCCACATCGAACCATCCTCGACAACAGCTTATAATAATCCCTCTCTCGCCTCAACCGCCGACGGCAACAGGTACTCCATAGTAGCCTCTCTGCGCGGATGCTACCGCCCAGTCTCTACCCCTTAGATCTTCTTTAGCCCGCCAGCCCAGCTTCATGCCAGAGCCAGAGCCTGAGCTCGAAGCAGCTCTGCAGGCGACAGCCAATCTCTCTCCCGTCTCTCCCTCGCCCGTCCACACGGCCGCGTCTCTCGTGGTGCCAGCGCTCCAGCAGACCGTCGATACCATCGACGCCATGGTTGCTGCCACTGCCGCTCTCCCCAACGGGGTCGCTGACGCCCCTGTTGTCGACCCTTCCCTCGCGACTGCTGGTGAACCCGACGATGTTGTAGATGATGACAGCTTCAGCGACGCTTACGGCGAAGACACGGAGGAAATGGCTGTAGAGCCCCCTCAGCAGGAGATGCCCGACAACAACGACGACTACGCAAAGACGTTTGACTCTCCTATCGGTCCTGAGGAAGGGGAAGAAGACCAGGAACCCGAGCATGTATCATCAGTACCGCGAGAATCCAACGAGAATCCATCACTTTTATCCGATCACTTGACTAGTCGCCCATCAGACGTCTCTCATGTCGCTGCTGATTCATCCGCATCTGCCCCAGGTGCTCAGAACCCATCTGTCTCTCTTCTACAGCCCGAGGCTGTCCCTGAGCCTGCCAGCGCAGCTCCATCTCAGCCTGGCGATGCGCAAGCGGCTTCCATCCCGCCAGTGGTCCAGCCCACGCTGCCCGGAGCTGACCCCAGCAAGCAAGAATCCGAAAACTCTTCATCTGTTGACATCCAACAACTTGTGGCTGACCTCACTGCTGCCCATCCCGCTGAACCCAAACCCGGAAACCCTGACCCAACGCCAGCTTCTGCGTCGCCGGCCAATGTCCCGGCGGCTTCATCCAACCCCTTTTCCCCTACTTCTTCTGCCCCTTCCTCCAACACCACCACCACTGCTACCACTACCACCGCTCTGCCACTGTCTTCCTCTCTCCCACCGCGTCCTCCGCAGCCTCAGGTCGCTCCCCAATCGTATGCTTCTCAGCACCATCCTGCCGGAACCAATTCCAATGTCTCAGGAAATGCCGGGGTGCCACCCGCGCCGGGACAACCCTCTAGTTTTGCTATTGCCGGTGCCCCTGGAACCTCGACTGAAGCTCTAGGGACTCTTCCACCCCCTCCTGCCACAGCTATGAATCCCTCAGCTGCTGCCGCGTCCATAAACCCTTCCTATGCTTCTAATCCGCCCGGGTATCCTGTTGACCGAGCCCATGAAGCCGAATATCAGCACCAGTGGGACCAGTTCATGGCCGATGAGCGACAGTACATGTCGGAGGCTAAGTGGGATAGATTCCCCGAAGGCTCACGCATTTTCATTGGTTAGTGGCTTTGCCTTAGACCTTATATTCCAGCTCCCCTAGTTTATATGGTGCATGCGTGCTAATGTGATTTTTCTCTCCTTGCCGTAGGGAATCTCTCTAGCGATAAAGTGTCTAAGCGTGATGTTTTCGACATCTTCCACAGATTTGGCAGACTGGCCCAGATTTCCCTCAAGTCGGCATATGGCTTTGTGCAGTACCACACAGTCGAGGAAGGCCATAGTGCTCTGGAGAACCTTCAGGGCATGGAGGTGAAAGGACGCCGCATCCGTAAGTCACTTCTCTAAAATTTGTCAACATTCAACATTCGCCTCATGTTCTTGAAGTTGAGATCAGTGCTGACAATCTGTAGATTTGGAAATCTCTCGCCTTCAAGATAAATCTAAGAAGGAGAGAAACCGCAGTCCTGAGCGAGCTCGTGGCGGCCGTGGCGAAGGCGGTCGTAGGGGAGAAAAGTATCGCGACGATAACCGATCCGCACGCAACCAGTCGCCTCGTCGTAATGACTATTATGGCCGAAACGATAGAAACGACCGAAATGATAGAGCCGACAGGGTCGACAGGACTGATAGCTACAGCGGCCGAGATCGAGGCTACCATGATTCAGGCAGAGGCCGCGGCCGCTCACGATCTCCAGGTGGATACGGTAGAAACGAAAAGGACTCCTATCGCAGGAGAAGCCCCAGTCCCTATGGCAGACAGCGACATGAACCAGAGCTTGATCTACCTCGTAGGTATGGCGCGGATGTTCCCGACGTGCAAATCGTCATGCAACCAGATGTCAGCCCAGACTTTGGCACTTGGGTTGAAGGCGCCTTCAAGGCCAAAGGATTGAGAACCAACGTCATGTACCTTCACCCGCGGTTTCCAAAGGACCAAGTCATCCAACGACAGGCTGCTGAAGGTGTACACGGAGTTGTAGACCTGGATCTTCGCGCTCAGAGCACAGCCAAAATTCCAGTTCACTCGTTTGACCGATCTAGAGGCATCCACAATGTTCGCTTCGAGCAATATGTCGACCTGGAGCCAAGCACGGCAGCAGAAGTCATATTGCGCGCAAAGGCCTCTGGCAATGCTAGCTATGGCCAGCCATACGGCGGTGCCGGTGGATATCCCATGCAGTACGCTGCACAAGCCCCGCAACCTCCTCATGTCGCTGCATATCCTGGCATGCCGCAACCCGGTTCGTATCCACCGCAACCCGCACCAGCTGCACCAGCTGCACCATCTATGCCGTCTGCCGCCGACATCGCGAATCTCATAGGGCAGGTTGATAATAATACGCTGCAAAGACTTCTATCGACCATCCAGGCGGGGTCTCCGGGAGCCATGCCTGGCGGTCTTATACACGGCGGCACCAAGTCTGCAATGCCAGCCGCTAATGCACCACAAGTTGATATCCAAGCAATATTAGGGTCTCTCAACGGCGGTGCAGCGGCACCACTTCCGCCTCCACCACATCAACAACACCATGGAGCTCACCCTCAGATGCAGTACGGCGGCCCGTACGGCGGTCAGCCTGCGGTTGTTACGCAACCAGCAGGCACAGGCGATGCAGCGGCCCAGGTGCAGAATATCATGGCTCAGTTGGCTCGTTACCGGCAGTGATGAGCCTCTGGCTTTCTTTTTTCTTTTTTTTTTGCTTTCTTTCTTTCTTTCTTTTCTTCTTAAATTTTTTGCTTTTGCTGCGGCTTCCTCCCTTGGAATTCTGGAGATAGAAGCTGCGTGAATGATTCTTGATGATTGCGTAATTTGCAAATTCTGATACCACATGGAGGCCTAGCACAGTTGCTTTTTTTCCAATGACGATGGCATTGTGGAGTTTTGAGAAAAGCGTCCGAAACAGATAGATATACACTGCTGGAGACTGGGCTCGGCATGCCTTATTGGAATTGCCAGCACTTTCATCTACTGACTTGCTTCTGTTTACCAGAACCAAGGTATGATGGCCTCGTAGAGGGGTTTAACGACCAATATGTGAAGAGGTATGAAATACCTAGAAATAAAAACTGTCAAACCCCAATTTATTTTCTGTGCAATGTAAATAATTGTTCAGTTACCTTGATACTTGTTGCTTGTTCTCTATGTTCAATAGATCCGTCTATATCTATATACACACCAACCGCACCTTAATAGAACAACGTTGCTACCATCCAAAACTCTCATTATGCCACCATATTTCGCGGCCTTTTCTCGCCCACGGCCCTATCCGCCGCCGTACTTCTCTGCTCATTTCTTCTGGGCCGCAGACTAGAATAGCAACTTTTTCGTCTACGCTGTGGCGAAATACATCGTCTACAAGCTTTTGAATGTTGGGACGCCTGCTGTTGTGGCTACTTGCAGCAGAACGCTGCTGGCGCGATGATGCTCGACTCATGTTTCCGAGCTCAATGAACCCATCGTGACCATGGTCATCGTTGTGGAAGACATTGATATTCTCCGTGAGATAGAGATGAACATTATCATCGTCAAGGAGAGATTTCTCAAAGCCGTTTTCAGTCGATGCCCACGTGGCATCGCCAGCCGAGCGGATGGCCCAGATGAACTGGGCGTGAGCTAATGGCAGCTCTCGCTGGAGAGCGTGATAGAGTGGAATTACAAAGGTTGCTCCCACGCCGCCGGCTATTAGGAGGATGCGGGAGGCGCCCCAAGTGAGAAGATGTTGAAAGTGCTTCCCTACAGCACCATGCGGTCCCTCTATGGCGAGTGTGATTTTGTTGTCGCCCTCGGAGGAGAGGGACGAAGCCGAGGAGGCAAATTGTGAGAGGATATTCGTCATGGGGCCGGATCGCTTTCTCGCGACTAGTGTAATGCTTTGGCTGTCTTCGCTGGCGGAAGCAACCGTAAAGGGATTGAAGAGCATGTCGAAGAGGAACGATTGAGAGGCTGGATAGTTTGCATTCCTTCCTTTAGGGGGCAGACTGAGATATATGTGAGAGCCTGGTCGGGAGCGGAATTCTTCAATCTTCTGAGAGGGCATGGGAGCGGAGATTTTGATGAGACTTGTTCCTGGGATTGCCTCAAATGTTGACGCCGTATATGTCATGCCCGCTCTTCGAACCGCAAGGTCCACAAGGAATACAACGATGCTCTCGGCAGCGTACAGGCGGGCAGAGTGAGCGTGGAAAAACAGCAGCACGGGAGCAAGCAGCGCAGCGCCCAGATGAGTGATAAAGAAGATGCGATACGAGTACCTCCTCACGCGGCGCATGGCGGTGGCCATCAGGCCGTCAAAGCCAAGCATGGCCACCACTCCGCAGAAGACGACGGGGGCGAAGAAGCGCTTGAACCAGATGCCGGACAGGATGAAGAAGATGTTGTACAAGACGACGTGGATGATGACGAGGGTGTAGATGACGCGGCCGAGGACGCGGTGGTAGCGGTTGATGTGCTCGTGGGAGGAGCTGAAGGCGTAGGCGTAGGGGTTGAGGGCTTTGAGGGCGAGGAGGTACTGGATGGGTAGTTGGGAGATGGCGATGCTGCCGAAGCGTTTGGTAAAGTGGAGGTAGTCTGTTGTTTGAGTTAGTTATGGTTGTATGAATGAGATTGAGTGAGATTGAAGTTTCAGAGGAGAGTTAAATGTAGTTGATACGAACAGGTATGTGAGATTGAGATGAGACTCATAGTCAGAGTATATGAGTGGGGATATGAGATGTAGACAGAGAGAGAAAGAACACAAAAGTTATAGAAGTCACGTTATAAGATGGGATTAAGAAACAAAACTGACCATTTCCGGTCCCCAAAACGCAAAGTATGAGCAACCAGCCCATCCACCCCAGCCCCAGCAGCCACTCATCTCGCTGCCCCCAACTTACACCCAAGAAGACAACATCGTCTCCAAACCACCACCGCACGGCCCTCCCTCGTGCTGCCAACGTGCCGAGCGCACTATTGTGCTGAGCCTTCAGAGTAGGCGTCCCAGGAACATGGGCATACTGGCCACGATCGTCATCATCATCATAACCGCCTAGACGGCGTATGGGTCGCGCAGCTCGCTGAATGAGACGGAGGGCGATGAAGATCACAGCCGGGGCCAGGGCTGAGTAATGGGCTACGCTGGCATAATAGTCGATGGTGTGGCGGCGAAGGAGGACTTCTTCCTGGGAGAGCGTCAAGAAGTGGTATGGCCAGCCCATTGTGAACCCTTTTGGGGGAGGGAGAGAGTTTGTGATATTACGCGGCACGATCAATACCGGCTATTATAGACTTACCTAGATACCAGGTATGTGTGTTATCGTGTTAATATACATGTTACAGGGCTTGATTGGTATGGAGGATGCGCCACAGGTGACGGCGTGTGGCTGCAGAACTGAGCCACAGTGGGTTCCTAGTTTGCTCTTTTGAGATGACGCAAACTCGTTGCTTGGTGGGAGATAGTATTGGTTTTATACTAGACTGTAACTCTATGGGCGCTGCCATCTAAGGAGACGTGCCTGAGTACTAGGTAGGCAAGAATTAATATATTTGTATCTCCTGGCTTTGAAACTACTAGAGACTTTGTGATTGTCTCTATACCAGAGACTTGCAGAGACTTGTCTGAATCCTGGCATCAATCAAGTGCCTTGCACCTACTCTACAGCAAGAGGCAAAAATTTTCAGCGTCAGTTGTAACCTCACTATGCCCATCTAGTACTATTCATCATGCTAGTCTTATAGCAACCACCCGTTATCGCTAAGGCGGGTTCAGCATTGAGATATTAATTGCCTCGTAGGACAGACTGACAGAAAAAAAAGGCGCCAAAAAAACTCGCGACAAATGAGAATGACAGCAGCTTTTGCCAGGTACACCGAATAGCTGGTGCATTTACAGTGGAGCGCCGTGTCCTCTCAGCAGCTGTCAAGCGCTATAACGGCGCCGGGATGGACACGGCTCTCGCTGATTCGCACAGGCGCCCCACGGCCTGACTCCCCGCTATCCGATCTCGCCGCATGTGCTTCTGCTATCTATACAGAGCGCCACGGAAAATTTTAGTTGGCGCATATTTTTCTTCTTCTCGAGTCAGCTTCCTTTCTTCATCTTATTTCTTCTCCTCCTTCTTCTTCATCTTCCCTCTGAAGGAATCAATCACTTGGTCAACTTGCCCTCTTGGCCTCTACTTCACAAATCGACTCTCATCCCAAAATCGATTCCACCATGTCTACCTACGCTTTGTCGACCAGCCACAAGGAGGTTCGTTTATTCGGCGACTTTTGCTATTGAGAGGCTCAATGTCGTGTGAAGTCAATCAAAATACTAATTCGACTTGCTTGATAGATGCTTGAGAAGTCTCTTCTCGAGTCTGACCCCGAGGTCGCCTCCATCATGGTACGTTCTCTGCCACTTTGATACCCCACCATAAACTTGCGCTCTCGAGCTTGAAGCATTGGCTAACAAAAAGCGTGCAGAAAGATGAGGTCCAGCGTCAGCGCGAGTCCATTGTTCTCATCGCCTCCGAGAACATCACCTCCCGTGCCGTCTTCGATGCCCTAGGCTCTCCCATGTCCAACAAGTACTCCGAGGGCTACCCCGGTGCTCGTTACTATGGCGGCAACCAGCACATTGACCAGATCGAGCTGCTCTGCCAGCGCCGTGCTCTTGATGCCTTCCACCTCGACCACGAGAAGTGGGGTGTCAACGTCCAGTGCCTCAGTGGCAGCCCTGCCAACCTGCAGGTCTACCAGGCCATCATGCCTCCCCACGGCCGTCTCATGGGCCTCGATCTGCCCCACGGTGGCCACTTGAGCCACGGCTACCAGACTCCCCAGCGAAAGTAAGCTATAGACGAATCCTTCCATGACGTAGCTCGGTGATTGATTTTTCGTTAACAACGTGCTGTTAGGATCTCTGCTGTCTCTACCTACTTCGAGACCATGCCCTACCGTGTTAACCTCGAGACTGGTATCATCGACTACGACCAGCTCCAGCAGAACGCTATCCTGTACCGCCCCAAGGTTCTTGTTGCCGGTACCTCCGCCTACTGCCGTCTGATCGACTACGAGCGCATGCGCAAGATTGCTGACTCCGTCGGTGCCTACTTGGTTGTCGATATGGCTCACATCTCTGGTCTCATCGCCGCTGAGACTATTCCTTCCCCCTTCCTGTGGGCTGATATCGTCACCACCACCACCCACAAGTCCCTCCGTGGTCCTCGTGGCGCCATGATCTTCTTCCGCAAGGGCGTCCGCTCTGTTGACGCCAAGACTGGCAAGGAGACCCTCTACAACCTTGAGGACCCCATCAACTTCTCCGTCTTCCCTGGTCACCAGGGTGGTCCTCACAACCACACCATCACCGCTCTGGCTGTTGCCCTCAAGCAGGCTCAGACCCCCGAGTTCAAGGCTTACCAGGAGAAGGTTGTCTCCAACGCCAAGACCCTCGAGGTCAAGTTCAAGGAGCTCGGCCACAAGCTCGTTGCTGACGGCACCGACAGCCACATGGTCCTCCTCGACCTTCGTCAGTTCAACCTCGATGGTGCCCGTGTTGAGGCTGTCCTTGAGCAGATCAACATTGCCTGCAACAAGAATGCCATTCCCGGAGACAAGAGCGCTCTGACTCCTTGCGGTATCCGAATTGGTACCCCTGCCATGACCAGCCGTGGTTTCGGAGAGAAGGACTTTGAGCGCGTCGTCGAGTACATTGACCAGGCCATCAAGATCTGCGTTGAGACCCAGGCTGCTCTGCCCAAGGGTGCCAACAGACTCAAGGACTTCAAGACCGAGGTTGCCAGCGGCAAGATTGCTAAGATCAACGACCTCCAGAAGGAGATTGCTGCTTGGACTAGCACCTTCCCTCTCCCCGTTGAGGGCTGGCGCCTGGATGCTGGCATCTAAGTGCAAGATGCTGGTGACTAAGGCCATTTCTTTTTTATTTAAACCGTTGAGCATGAAATCAAACAGATACCAAAAGAATTGAAAATGGAGAACCAAAAAAATTCGAGTCCACCTCAAGCATTTAACATGAGATGAGACGGAAGCCATAAAACAATACAAAAACAAAAATTATCGGCGAAAGGTTCAACAACTTTGCAATTTCTCATTATTCATAAGGGCTGGCGTATGTTTTATATATATTTTTCCATTTCAACCGGAAATGAGTGGAAGAGGAGTTTTCTTTTTGACTGGGCAAAAATTTTGGGAGGATTTTGACTGCGGCATACAAATCTTTGATGTACCAAAAAATATTCAACGTCGACAATGGGTGTTGACCTATATCCCTGCTTCAACAAGTAGGGCAAATAAGAAGAGAAAAAGAATCGTTCTCCATATGACTGCTATGCTTAGTGATTTGTGATTTTCGCATATTTGTGATTGATAGCGCTTTCGCGGTTATCTCCATCCCCATATTTGCTAGTGGGACGATCTCGTTCGCTTCCGTTTCACTTCAATTATGTACCGTTCCAGCTATAGCTCAACAAGACAACCTGTCAATATGTGAAAGTGTACTTTTTACTGTCATATATACTTGAAAGTAGCAGTAGCAGTAGTAGCTGTCATCCATTACTCTGGGGTCAAAGAATCACATATCCTTTGAAAGGGAAGGGAGAAGGAGGAAAATAAATCAATTGACTGAGAAAGGGCCCCTGCTTCATCTCAGTGACCAAGGTCCAGATAAATAGCCAACATCTTTCTCATAATACCTATTCTAGAAACCACCGTAGTACTAAGGAAAAGACAGTTTGATCACAACATGAAGGTTCCAGAAGAGAGGATGTAGTAATAAGAAAAGGAAACTGCGAACTGCGCAGATGAATAAAGAGAATAAAAGAAGAAGAAACAAAACCAATCAATCTTTGCCACCCCAAGTGAATTGCATCTCTCTCTGCTCGTCTCTGCTTATCGTCTTTTCCTCCCTCTCTCTTATTCTCATCCTTGTTTTTAATGGCGGTAGCAGCAGCAAACTTGTTTTTCCTTTTGTGGATTTTAACTTAAAACTCTGAATAATCGTAGCGCGGCTTGTTTTTTTTTTTTTTTTTTATATATAATCTCGATTTTCGGTTTTCGCATAAAGACATTGCAAAGACCGCAATACTGGCCGTAGGCATATCAGCCTCTCTCACTATATTTTGAAAACAAAACATTTTCCAGTCATAACTGTCCAAACGCCGCACAAGAATATGACCGACCAACTCGATAGGAAACGGAACCTTCAGTTGGTAAAAGAAGAAGAAAGAGTAGTTGAAAGAAGAAGCAAAGAAGAAGACAAGGAACAACAAGTCTTTTCAGTTGCTGCCCCGGGTCTTATAGGGGTATATCGGGGCGAAGAATTTGATATCATTAGAAAAGTTGAAAAGCATTAGAGTTTGATATACAATTAATAACACAGTTCCAGATGAGAAATTCTTGAAGTGCTGTATTCCATTATGGCAATGTACCGTCTTGATGGATCAACGTAAAGAGGCCATTATAGCCGACGAAAAAAAAGTGTTGCCGTCGAGCAGGTCGTATAAAGTTCGTTGTGTATGTACAATTTGTTAAGATAAGACGATGTATACCCTTTTAAGTCTTGTGTAGTCTAGAGCCAAATGCTGTCCATGACTATTGCGCAATACTCTCTGGACTCATCATGCCCGTGGTGTCATCTTTGTCGGTTTGGCTCATGCCGCCCTGGCTCTGCATACTGTCCGTACGCTCCATGCTTGGTGCCAGAGCCAAGAGCGCTGGGTTGGCAGCGGCACCATTCGGCATGGGCGTGGGCGTTTTCTTCACGGCAGTTGCATTGACAGCTCCGCCTTTAATGGGAGATGCATTCAGTCGAGCCTCAGCTGCTGCAGCCTCCAGCTTTTTCTTCTTTTTCGCAAGCGCCAACTGTTCCTTGGGTGGCCGCTTCTGAGCGGAAATGATTTTGCCGCTTGCGCCAAGACGAGGACGTGGTTTGCGTTGCTTGGTAGGCAAATCCTCATCTTCCACCAAGGGTTGATCGCCGTTAGCGTGGAGCTTGGCCAGAAAGAAATTCTTGATAAGCCCGACTTGGTGTTGAATATTTTCTTTCGTAACAGGCTCAGCAATGGACAATGTTTCGAAAATTTCACTGCTGGACCCGCCAGAGGCCTGAGATTGCATCTGGTACTGGTTTCGCACTCTGCTCTGCAGCAAGTGAAATGGTACCGACACAAAGTCAAGGCCCATTTCCTTGTCCAATCCGAGAGCACGGAAGCCAAAAAAGTCTTCCCCAAGATCCTCAGCAAAGTCTCCGCTGGTAAACTGATCGCTACCGTCATTGAAAGCACCGGCACCATCTTCGCCAGCTTCTGCTGCAAGGGCCGGGCGGAGAAGGTCTGCTAAATGAGACTTCATCCTTTCATGCAAAGCGCTCAACTTGGTGGTCAATCTGTCGACTTCGTCCTTAGTATAGCTCTCCAGGGATGCAATATCATGCCCGTTTTCGTCAAGAGTGTGGAGGATCATCTCCTCATTCGTAAAACGGGGCTGTACCAATGTCTGGCCGCCAATCTGAACCGTTTTCTTTTCAGCCTCTCGGTAGATATTGAATGTCCTGACTAGCTTTTGGAAATAATCGGCTGCGATTCCCGTAAAAGCATCTACGGCGGAAGGCTGTAGCTCCTCAAATCCAGTGGTATAGAGAATCTTCGCGATAGAGCGCTTCAAAGCATTCTGGCAGGTTTCGGGAGCCATGATAGGGCCATCGTCGGCAATAAAATGCGGCTCAATATCCAATTCTCTGAAAGGTTCAGAATTTGACTTTGGAAATTGGTTCGTATAGACCTATATTCATGTGAGCTTGCTGCAGCAAATCTCCTTGATTCCCCAGCGGAAACTTTCTTACCTGAGACTGAACCTGCATCTGTTTGATGACGGATATCTTTGTTGCCAGCTTCCTGGTTTCTTGTATCTGACGGATATTTTCGTCCATCTTTTTTGTGAATTTACTTTGAGGTGAAACAAATGAGTTGGGCGGTACGAGTTGAAGAAAGTCTTCATGCTGGTTGATAACTTGACCTTCACCATCTTCCATCCATTGCAGCTTTGATGGAATATCTGGGATGCTGCTCAAAGGTATGTAATAGTCGGGAATTACTTGTTCTTTTTCCTCCTCAATACCCTCAGCTAGCGTCTCAGGCGCTTTGTTTGGAACGTCCTTGGCTTTTTTCGCAGAATCATCAAACTCGGTGCTGTTTGTCAGCTCCGCCTCTTTTTGACGAGTCAAAAATCTTCGCATGCCGGCTTTACTTCTGAGCAGAGCGGGTGAGTCCGTATTAAGCTTGTTATCCTTGAAAAGCATGAAGCGTTCTTTGGCGGTTAGAGCTCGATCTTTCTTTGTGCTTTGCTTCCAGATTTTATACTCTTCATCTTCATAAGCTTGTTCAGCAGCCTGGCCAAATGCTTGGTTAAGACTCATTCCATTGATACTGGGACCGTCGATATCCATTGCATCGGCGTTACTCGTGATTCCGGATGGGCCGTTTGCTGCGCCGGGAGTAATAGAGCCAGCAATAGGAGGCGTAGCGAAGCCATTGCTTCCATCTATTTCCGAGCCTTCGCGACCCAGTTTACCCAGCAATCCATTTACTTGTAGAATGGGCTTCTGGTCAACTACAGGTGTATCTTCTTTTGGGTCGTTGGGCGCTTTCCTCGATTTATTAGCTCCCTTGGTCGTTGCTTTACGACCACGAGAAGACATGATGGGCTCATCATCAGAATCTTCGCCACCATCATCCTCGCCTCCGTTTTGCTTTCGCCGTTCCTCAGCTTCAACTTCGGCGCGAGATCGAATGGTAAGGTCCGGTATAAGGGGAATCAGCTTTTCGGCCTCTTTCCGCATCCCGTTGGCCATTCGGCGAAGAGGATGGTTCATGTCCTGGTTGTACTTGAGACAATTATCCCAGATCAGATTAAGATCAACCACAAATTCTGTCTTTGACTTGTACGAGAGTGATTTTAACTTCTTCGTCATTGTTCCTAGATCCATGGGATTTTTGATGACTGTAATTTTGTCAGTAATCTGTTTATAGCAAAGAAAAACAGGGAGGAAAAAAGAAGGGATCTGTTCATACAGTTATAGTAGTCGGGAGCATCTCTCTTGTTGACACGAGTAAGAAATGGCGTTGAATACTCTGTATGCGCCTTAAGCTCCGTCAACACCTTTTCTAAAGCTTCGTACAGCTCTTCTTGGTTGACATTGTCCTCGCTTGCCCATTTGCTGCGATTCTTTCGGACTTCGTTCATAAGGAGCCTTAACTCAGCATCTGAAGCCTTTACTTGGTCTCTCTTCATGTCTATCCTGGCAATGAGGTGTTTGAGCGTAAGACTTGACGCTCCGAGATTCGCGCTACTGAGAGATCCTTGATTCGCGGCCTGCGACCCCGTCACATTTGCATTGTTGTTATTCTCCATCTCGGCTTGGAGCTGCTTCTCTGAGTCCTCCAGCTGCTGCTGCTCAAGCATTGCTGTCCGGTCATTCTCCAGAGTATATATAATGGTATGGAAGCTCCGTCGGGCAGCGGCTTCTGTTGCTATCCTGACATCGTCGAGTTGCTTAATCGGATCATCATCTCCAGGCTTGCTTTTGGTCTGTGAGCCATCCTGAGATCTCGCTTTATCTGCTGTTCTGGTAGGGGAAGTGGCTGAGAGCACTGGAGAATTGCCCGACTTCGGCGATAATAGCGCATTCGAGGCAGCGGCCGCGCTCTGAGGCTTGGGTACGGCGGACGAAGTATCTTCGTCATCTTCATCCTCATCGTCGTCGTCATAATCATCTTCGTTTATTGTGCGTTTCGCCTTCTTTAGTGGCGGTTCTTTAATAGGTTCGTGGTCGGTGGTTGGGGGGAGGGTAATAGTAGGGGTGGGGGGGTATCGTCGCAGAGCCTCGATCGCGTTCAGATTATGAGAGCCATCATCGGCAAAGAGAAGAGCAATTTTTTCTTCTGATTTTTGGAACAAGTCTGCGAAATGGGCGCGTCGTCTTTCGTCTTCGATATCAAGGGTTGCCTCAGGCATCAACACCAAGGAACTGTCGACTGGGGTTGTTACACGCGCCAAACCATCATCAAGAATCTGCAAATTCCTGCTGCTGCCGGAGTGATGCAGCCCAGGCGGCGGCCAGGCTGCCTGGCCGTTAGGAAGTGACATTTTGGGCCCCGGGCGATGGAAGCGACAGCAGGGCCCCTTTCGCCATGCGCCAACAAATGCGCTCGCGTGTGGCCGGACCAGAGGCGAATGAGGAACTCAAGACGGCATGGGACAAAAGCGCGACATCGATATAGATGAAGACCCGGATTTCGCGACGAACAGAGATGAACTGGCCGAGTGTTGATGGATCGCGATCGCCTGGTTTGTCTGCGGATCGAGAGGTGAGGTTGAGGATTTGGGAGGCTTGTACGTATGGGGAACCCTTCCCCAAAGCGGAGACTTTTTCACGGGCACTGGGTCACTGTCGGCGGCGGCTGGGCCGGCGGTGGTACCAGCACCAGGCAGGCTATGGGGCGCGTCTACCGGCGACCTGGAGCAGGGCAATGCAAGAGGCGATTCTGCATGCAAATATCGATAAGGCGTGCTCTGACGGGCGTTCTGCAGGTCTCTTGCTGGCCGCGCTGGTCATTGGAGGCATGGACCTGCGCCGTGGTACATGTACAGATGACGGATAGAGGCATGAACATTTACAAGGGACGCACTGCGCTGCATCCAGCGACTTTTCTCTTCTGCGCTGCGCTGGACGTAGCGTCTCACGTGATGAGCTGTCTCTGCTAGCATCTTCTTTAATAGCTCGCATCAATGCCTATTCATGGACATCAAATATGACAATATGATGAATTTTGCAGTTCATAAATGTAGCTATTGAACAGTCCAAACAATGGCCCCCCATCTGCGCGCACTATGTCACCTCTGTAGACAGCAGAGACGTTGGTTGTGAATGAAATGTGAACCGTGCCAAACTGTTCTTCGCAGGTGAGTAGGTGGTACTAAGCAACACTCACTCGCGCAGGTCGGTATTACGTATCTGTGTGCCCTGCGCCACCTGTAGCCGCAGCTCTTCCAGGCCAATGCATTCAACACCTCCCCACGCCAATTGCAAGCAAATTCTTCAGCCTCAAGCCATATTCAGTTCTGTGGTCTAGAGAGCTTTGCTGCTCTCCAGGCCGCCATACCGTCCAGACCTTTGTCATCTTAGGAGCTGCTTGCTTGACTCGCCCATTGAAGCCATGCGGATAAGATTACCTTTTGCAGGTGTGTACGTCTTTGGCGCAGGCCGCATAGCATCATCACAGCTATATTCCCTTGCATGGGGAGAGTTTCTGGGCGGCATGCATGCGCGCTGGGCTGAGAGATGCTAATATTCGTTTCAAGGTATTTTCCTGCTCTTGCTGCTGCTGGCTGGCTACGCCGGTCTCTCCACTCTGCAGCTCGGCAGCTATGTGAACGACAAAGTCCTCCATTTCGTGACATTCTTCCTTCTTACGGTCGTCTTCTACTGGATCGTTGATACCAGCCGGCGACGAACCTTGAACATGACGCTTCTCGTCTGCACCGTCATCCTAGGCATCGGATCCGAATTCGTGCAGAGCTTTCTCCCAAACGATCGAGATTTCGACCTCTATGATATCGTAGCAAACATCGTCGGCAGTTTGCTTGGAGTTGGGATTTGTGCATGGTACCATAAGCGAATGCTTGAGCGAAAAAGACAGCGCAAGCATTATGATGCTGTTCCGGGCGAAGACGCCGAAGACGTAGAGCTCGGTGAGGGTCAGGAATCAGGAATCTTGACCGCCTCGACCCGGAGCAGGACTCTCGAAGAGGAAGTTGACAATTGGGATGAGAATGCAGAGGATAACTGGGACGATGACAACGCATTGGATACCGAGCCACCGCCAGCTACAGCAGCCAATGTAGCCGACGCAGCTGATAATCGGGAAGCCAAGAAACGTACAGACTAAAATTTTGGCTTAGTATTTGGAGTTCAAGGCTGGCCTGGGGATATTTTCATGTCAACCGCACAAATACAACCGCAGAAAAGGACTGCCAGTGTTTTTGTGTCAATGGGGACATGTTGTCAATGCTTTATGATATAGATTGCGCTGGGTGGAGGAGACTTATACGCTCTTGTTCCTTGGTTGTTTGTTCTTCGGAAACGAAGGATAAAATTTTCATTATTAGCTTACCTTTTCTCTATTCACGAAGATATGAAAAACAAATGTTCATTAGCCAGCACTATGATCGAAGGTGAGAATGAGAGTTGGAGTAGTGGTTGTCATATCGGCGTCTGGCCTCTGCTGGTTTCTTCCAATATATTTACAAGATCACACTATATAGCCAACTAGAATATCTATCAAGTCTTGTAATGATTATGTGGACAGGGGACAAATTTCTCTCTGGTGTGTATTTCCAACTGGTATACACTTACCCATAGACTTTTGTTTTTGTAGTTGCTTATAGCCTCAGCTTAGAGTAGCCATTAGCAAAATCGCGTTATCATTTCAACGTCACAACAGCAAATTTCCATAACACCTGACGTTTTTTCTTTTTTTTTTTTTTTTTATAACTTCACATGCCATACATTTACTTATAGCATACGTTTTTCAGGCATAGAATACAACACATCTCAGTGAATCTCCGTTTACCCTGCAATTACAACATATCCTTGTAAAAGAACCCCGCCATCTGCCCCTCACCGAGGTGAGCTACCCACTATTATTCCTGCGAATTGTTAGGCCTAGCATATCCTCCAGAGTGTCGCCTCAAAAACACCTAATTGCATGCGCCGAGAGTCGCACGCACCGGAAAAAATGGCGAGCTCAGAGAAACAGCCAGTCGTAAGGTAAGCGCGGCCGCAAGCATACACTCTCAGTCCAAGCTACAAGCTGTGCTAATTATCCCGAGCGCAGTGGTAAAGATGATGCCCCGACCAATCCAAGGGGCATCCCGTACGCTCCCTTTGTCGACAAAGTCGAGGATTACGTCTCCACACGGGATGATGTCGAGCCGACGCTTCGAAGCTTCCAAGAAATGATATCGTGAGCTACGCCAATTTCGACCGTTGCCGTGGGAAAGGGGCTAATAAGCCCGTGGTAGGAAATATCAGTTCATGGAGCTGAACTTGCAACGTCGGATGACGGGGCTAAGGGAGAAGATTCCGGATATTCAGAAGACGCTGGATACGGTGCAATTCTTAAAGCTACGAAAGGTGCTTTCATATGGCGCAATGACAATAGAGCACTACTCATATTTGAAACTAGGATGCGACCGATCCCATTGAAACAACCTTTGAGCTCAACGACACTCTATACGCCAAGGCGAATATCCCACCGACAGAAGAGGTTTACATTTGGCTAGGGGTATGATGGGAGTGCCCAGGGCCGCTTGACTTGCCAGACTGACTGTGCTATAGGCCAACGTTATGCTGTCTTATCCGATTGATGAAGCCGAGACATTATTGACCTCAAAGCTTTCAGCGGCCAAGACAAGCTTGTCAAACTGCGAAGAAGACTTGGACTTCCTCCGAGAACAGATTACTGTAAGCAAACATAATAACCGTTGAGATGTTGGCCTACTGACGAGGAATTTAGACCATGGAGGTTGCTACCGCCAGAGTTTACAACTGGGAGGTAGTGCAAAAGAGGAAAGAAAAGGTGGAAGAAGAGGCAGAGAAGAAGAAGTCGAAGGACAGTGATGCGTAGTAGACACTTGGAAAGGGTTTTGATTTCTAGTTGTGGCTGGCCACGAGAGTTCTATTCCGATCTGCAAAGTGTGACATACTGTAAAAAGCATTGGGCGTTTTTCTGATCTTCCACAACGATAATTGGAGACTATTTGAAAGTATGAAAGTATGAATGCTTGTTGCGAATATTGTGACCATATTAAAGAAAAGCAGCTTAATTTTTTTTCCTTTGCCTTGTAATTCTATACGATGTAGATTCAATCGGATGAGTCTGGAATATGGACTACGGGAGACGGAACAGCCAGGGACCCACTTTTGGGCGCGCCCCGATTGTTGCATGGCCGACGGAATTTGAACTTTTGGGAAGACTCGCGATCGTATGGAGCTACTCCAACAACGGCCCATTTCTCGCGACAAAGGCTTTTTCGACGGATCTTTGCTGACCATGTTGGAGATATTGGAGATATGAGGAGGAATGCTCAGAAATGCAACACGGAAGTTGGAGCAAAGGCGGCCAGCGCCGTGCCAATTGTTCCAAACATCTTTGGTAGGTTGCCTCGCATTTCAATGGGCTGGAATTCGACAACTGATGTTCTGCCATTTCTATAGACGGCCCGTCGACCGCTGCTGCAAAGATGCAGCCGCCGGACGTTTGCTTCTTCACAAGTTGCCGTCGCCGAGGGATACGAGACTGGCAAGATTTCCAGAGTTGACCAAGACGATCGCATTTTTGAGCCCCGATCTCCTCGACAAGTTTCACGAGCCGCAGCGCCTCACTCATACAATTCCTATACCCACCGCACTTTTCAACATAGGCTCCCAACAGAGCCTTCTACCCGACGACAGCGGCCCAGAGAGACTTTCGTCGACCCCAGCGATCCCGACAGAGCTCATGGCGCTTCCGCTCACTCGAACAAGTCTCTGCGCCCACGACGCCGCCGCAAAGCTGAGCCTGACTCTGGTACTCTCGAAGCCTGGCGCAATAAATCACCCAGTCTCTTTCTAAAGAAAGTATTGGAGCCCAACGAACATGCTCTGTACTGGAAGAGACTCGCCGCGGAGAGCCGAAGTGTTCGGCCTCCAATCCTCTTGCTACAGATGATAATTCGCAAAACAGCGGCGCAAGAACCCGACCAGAAATATCTTCTCGATCTACTTCCCTCGGTATACGAATGGGAGAGAGCAATGAGTATTGCGCGGCGAAATGGCCACTCATATGAGGACTTGGCCTACTATATGTACATCCTCGAAGGCAAAACGGATGATGTGCGATGTGAAAGATTTCTTGAACGCGATTCCTATAAGCCGCCCTTCATTTTCCATTTCCTTCTCAGATCATCGTCTCGATTTACTAGCCTGGAGAACTTCAACCGTCTGATTGATTATTGCAGCTCTTGGTATCCAGCAGCGGCGGGCAATGGACTAGACAAGACCAAATCTAAATTCTATATACCACCTAGGGGAGCATTTGGATCGGCGAACTTCAACCACAACATGTCACTTCTAGCACACCATTGCATTCGGCTCGATCCTAGGCTCATCATCAAACTCGCAGATCTGGCCGTCCGGTATATCGAGGCCTTAGTGAAATCACCCCTACCGCAAGAAGAGATCTATCAAGCTCAATGTGCCGTCTTTAATCATGGTCTCAAGCTACTAGGTTCGGACCACAGAAAACGTACGGTCCAGCAGGCATTGCCTAATTCGTTCTATTGGGAAGCGCAGAGGATACTTCTCGCCGTGTCTTCCAAACTGAAACGGCAACTTCTTGTGAATGCGGAGGGATTTCGAGCCATCAGAACAGTATTAGCGGGCATGCCTAAGAACCACGTTGAGATTCATAGTTCTGCTAGGCACGCGTCTACGTGGCCCCCATATCTACGACCGGGAGACGGCATGGACGAAGAAATGGATCCTGAAGACAACTGGAGTCGATCTGTACGAGCGGGAGTGCTGATGCAAGAGGCCGGATTCGCGAAAACCGACTATGACGACGCTGTTGATATCTTGCAAGGCATGTCTCCAGACGGGACACCGACAATCCAGCAACGGATATTACCAGGGAAGCGCCGAAAGATAGGAATGTGGGAAGCCTCTATAAGAGCTACGCGTAATGCACATGAGGCATGGGACAGATTCCAAAACCCTCCTAAAGCTGGACTCAAACTTGGTTTGGCGGAATATACTGCCATGTTCGAAAAGTTGACGCAAAGAGAAGCAGACGAAAACACAAGAGCTCTTCCCGGAGACAGGGCCTTGAACTTCCCTACTACACAGGAAGCTAATCTCACCGAATTCGAAAAAGCTAGAATTCGCCCACCCAGCATATCTCAGCTGTATGAAAGGATGCAGCTCGATGGTATTCGTCCTACAGGCAGCTGCCTTCAAATCCTGGTGGCCAACACGGAATCGATGGAAATGGCGCGAAAATATCTACACGATAGCGACGGAACTGGGGCCTTGTACCGTCTAATGTCCCAAGAGATGGATGTACAAGCTCTAAAGAAAGTGCCCATAAGCCTTATCTCAGCCTGCATTCAAGTGATGATACGGCAAGAGGGTAAAGTAGCTAGGAAGTACATGATACGAGCTATTGAACTGGCAGAGCAACGACTAGGAAACGACCGAACTCCACTGTCCGACTTTATCTGGGGCACGATTTTAAAACACCTATCACAGCACCACTACGGCTTGAGGATAGCTGTTCATCAGCAACTCAAACTGTCTCTTCATATCATAAAGAAACTTGATGGACCTTCTGGGATTACGCTTCCCCAGTTTGTCCAATTCAGCAAGACCATGCGGAAAATAGCTAAGCGCGAACTTGAGCAGCTTTTTACGGAAATGGAGTCAGGCTCGTTAACGATAGAAAACCACGCCATGTGGCCTTTATATGATGAAAGGTCCAGGCACAAGGATGCTATGCACTGGGACACATTTGATGACAAGTCAGGATCCTTGGACTTGTTTCGTGCCTTGCGGTCTTCTGCTCTTCAAATGAACGAGTTGTTTGACAAGCTTCTCTCGTACGAGAGAGGTTCACGGCAGTTATTGGGCACAAAGGAACTAGAACCATTGGAAGGGATGATGTGGCGAAAGGACCCAGCTCGTAGCGAACATGCTTACGAGTACATGCTCTCTTTGGCTTACCTGGGCGAGTTTCAGCAAATGGCCAAGTTGCTGAGGTGGTTAATCAAGGAGTGGGGCCAGCCCGGCATTGTCCAAGCTCTGTCTGAGGCAGACGAGCCGCCGCCATATGCTGACTTTGTTGAAACTCTATGCGCCTTTCGACTCCTAGCCGAGCCGATGCTCGAACGAGAAGAGGTGGAGTCCTTACGCGAGGCCATTGGCACGGCCGGACTGAGCTGGTCGTGGCCTGACGAAGAGGCTGTGGAAGCCTACGCTCAAATGCAAGAGGATGAATCCATCAATGTACTGGCGCGCGTATTAGAGCGGGTGCGCTTATCCTGGGCAGAAGCTGAGACGGAGGCCGAAAGGTGAATGGGAGTTTTTATGCCACACTCTTATAAGTGACAGGGAATATGTGCAATATTTGGAACATGAAGCATGAGGCGAGGGCGTTTTTTTTTTATTAAAAAGGGATGGGCTTTGAACAACTTTATGATATGTATATACGGCCCGGATGGCAATATCTGATGAATAGAATATGTTCATACGGAATAATTACTCTCAGTCGCTTGCTACAAAGCAGTTGTGGTCAACTAATATCTTCGTAGGTAGAACTAATGGGTTTGGAGCTGACCCATACATGCAAGTAGATGCAAATAAATACGCATGGCAATCCACTTGGTACTACCATAGAATTTCCACTGCTTCTATTCTAAGAACTTGAGAGGCTGATGGATGGGAATGGCCTAAAGAGGCGAGCGGCGGCTATCTGTCTCATCTTAAAATCGTCGTCCAGGGTGGATGCAGGGATCGATAGAGCCTCCGATTGGACGAACGAATTCTGGTCAAGGTACGGTGGTACGAAGTACTAGAGGGCAAACTTGAAAACGTTTTTGTTGTTCAAATTTTAGAATAAAATAAAATGGTAGAATTTAAATTTAATCTGAGAATGATTTGTGTATCTTTGGAATTAAGAGAGAGTGTATAATTGTTGGCCACCTGTTTGCATCCGGACAAGTTGTTTGAATGGGTGAAGCACAAAGCGCAACTGCATTCTTCACGCTTTGAGGCACACGATCACGTTACCATCACGGAACCAACATCCGGTAAAAAGACAAGCAAAGCAGATAAAATTTTCAAGTTCATTAATCAATCATGAGCCCCATTCCACCGGATTCTGACCGTAAAACAAAACAAGGAAAAACCAGGCTGTGAATGCCTTCAAATCAATCAAGTAAACGCCTGGCGCTTAATCAGGCCCTTGCTACTGAGCCACAGGTGGCCGCGGTGGGGCGACGCTGATAGGCCAGCACGCCTCGCCGTCTCAGACAGCGGCTGCAGCGCAACACCTCGAGATTAGCCAGGCACCCTGCAGAGCAGCTCTCTAGTACAACGTTGGCTTTCCAAGGGCCTTGCGCCGGCCAACCGCGCGGATGCAGCCGGACACTCTCAGACGACGGCCTGCCAGGGACATGGAGAGGCTGCAGGTTTCCAGTGAAGCAAGAAAAAAAAAGAGAAGCGACTTGTGCGCTGAGGGCTTACATACAGTAGGTAGTTTACACCCCTTGCTTGGCGGTCGCGGCGACGGCTTGGAATGCCGAGAAAGCAAAAAGTCAAGCGCGTATCGAGGCCAAGATGGATGGATGGATGGAGGGGGCTTAGCTGAGAGAGAAGAAGGGGGGCATACTTAATGCAGAGGACGATCCTTTCCCAATGGTTCCCGTTCTTGGTTCCTGATCTCAAGATATTAAGGTTGCATATCGTGTCTGTCGTGTGTGTTTCCGGTGCTCTGGTTGATCTGGATTTTCTTTTCCTTTTTTTCCTTATTTTTCCTATCTCTATCTCTCATTTGTCTCTCTTTGCAACTTTCCCATTCTTTTTTTTTTTTTTTTCCCATCTCGTTTCATTTCCTTTTTGTCGATCAATCCCTTTCACTTATACGCTGCTGCTTTTGCCGAGTTACACACGCAAACTCTCTTTTTCCCTTTGCTATTCACAGCTAATCTGGACGGGAACGTTTCGTTTTGACAAGAAAAGCAATCCCGCCTTAATAATTCTCACCTCATTTTCTTTTTGTCTCGCAATTTTTCTCTGTTTACGGATTTGGCCGCTTGTTCAAGCAAAGCATTCCTTTTTTTCGCCAAGTTCTCTTGCAAGACCCACCAAACACAGCAAATCTCTTTGTGGTGTTGAACACGCATCTTTGCTACCCGTGGATCTTCAGGCCAACATTCACTACTAATTACTTATTTATTTCATTCATCCTCTTTGGTGAAACACTTCCTTCCCTTTTGCCGATCTTTACCATTACTGAATTTCCCTACTCTTTTTCATTCCCTTATTCTTTCTATCGCTGTGCGATCATCTTCTCTATACGACTACAACTCACATAATGCGTTGCGATATTCTATTCAACACGGCTCTAAGCCTGCTCTTGGCTGCTCGGCTTGCACAGGCAGGCCCGGTGTATGAATCCTTCTCCTTTCTGCCCTTCCATCTTTGAGGTTGATTCTTCGGTACTGACACACTTCGTGATAAACAGGCCCAAAGTAGTGCGAGCCGAAACATCTATACCTGAGTCATCTGCAATCCCATCAGGGCCTGAGTACGTTGCTTTACTGCCATAGAAAGACGAAGGAATGGAATCTAACATGAAAATAGGACTTCTGCTGAACCTGCGGTGCCCACGGCATCGGCTCCTCGGCCGGTCTTTCAAACTTTGACGGACTCAACAGCCAATATCCCCGACTCGCTCGTTTCCAGTACCCCTACTCAGAGTCAAATCCCGGCCACAACCTCGGTTGAGCAGTTATCTGTGATACCCATTGTGGCTACAACAAATGCTGAGCAAGGAGGATCAAGCATTGTCTCCAGTGCTGCTCCTGAGACGTCTAGCAGTGTCGCGGATACCTCTAGTACGGTTGCTGTCCCTGCTGCTACTTCTAGCAGTGCTGTGGAAAGCTCTAGTACGGCTGCTGTTCCTGTTGCTACATCTAACAGTGCTGTAGCAAGCTCCAGTACAGTTGCTGCTCCAAGTACATCCGGCAGTATTGGAGAAACCACCAGTACTACGGTAGCTGCCCCAGCCACATCAAGCAGCGTTGTCAACACTTCTTCTTCAAGTGTTCCAACCACATCGAGCGGCGTTGTTGATACTTCTTCTTCACCTGCTGTTCCAGCTACATCCAGCAGTGCTGCTGATACTTCTGCTACGGCTGCTACTTCGACCACTTCTGACAGTGCTGCTGGCACTTCTACAACAACTGATACCTCAGCTACAAGTGCCAGCACTACGGCGGTAAGCACCTCAGCTTCGACTGGAGAATCATCATCAACAGAGGCGCAAACCTCAACGTCTCTAGCAGCCGCTTCAACTTCTGGTACTAGTCCTACTGAAAGTGGCACTTCAAGCACTTCAAGCACTTCTGAAACAAGCTCACAGCCTCAGACGTCAACAACGGAAGCTGCAGCGTCTTCAGCTTTGCCACTGAGAAATGACCAGACTGCTTCTTCTCCAACTAGTACTGATACAGCTACTAGCAGTACATCAGATCCTGTGACGACATCAGCGACGAGTGCTCCCACAACAGAGGCCACGTCTTCAGCTGTTACCGAACCTCTCACCACTTCGGAGCCTGTGTCTACTACTGGATCTGCAACTGCAGCTCCTGAGAGCCAGACGACTGCCTCAGGCTCTGGGACTGATGCTCCAGCCACAAGTTCTAGTCAGACTAGTCAGACGCAGTTGAGCTCGAACGCTGGCAGTACAACAGTCGCATCTTCCTCTTCCACTACAGAGAGTGCTTCGGCCTCAAAAATCGAGCTTCCTACTGCTACAGAGAGTGCTTCAGCCTCGCCAACGGAGCCTAGCGCCACTACTGCCAGTTCTAGCACACATGGTATCAATACCAAAATAACACCCAATCCTACAAGCGGAGTGAGCAGCTTGACTTCGAGTGCTACAGAGCCTGGAGCTATCACCACTTCCGCCGAGGTCACGACTTCTGCCTCCGAGGCGCCGACAACCAAAGTTCCAACCAGTGATGCAACTGCTAGCTCAACATCAGTCCCAGCTATTGCCGTTGGTACTCCCAATGAAGCGAGACCTTTGAGCTCGAAGGCTTCCACTGATGTTGCGGTACTGCCGGCTTCTACTTCAGCGTCGGAAATTACACAGCCTGCCAGCTCAACAACGTCTGTTCCCCCATCTCCTCCCCCAGCCTCGTCTCTCGAATCCTCCACGAGCCCTGCAACAACAACAACTGCTGTCGCAGCCTCTCCATCCACATCGGCCTTGCCTCCGCCCCCAACTTCCGCCGCCTCAACCACACTCCGCACAACAAGAGCTACGGCTACCGTCCAAGTGACCAAGCCCCCCGGCAACGATATTCCTATTCCTACCGCAATCAACTCTTTCCCTACTGGAACATCCACTGTTCCAGCTCAAGTCTTTGCAAGCAACTTGGCCCAGGCTCAACAGTACAACAACGTCTTCAAGGACTTGACCCCTCAGTCTACTTGTACTGGAAATGCAGCTGCTTGTATTGACGGCCAGTTGGCCAGGTGCAGCTCTAGCGGTACATACTCGCTCGAGAAATGTCCTTCTCAGCAAAAGTGCTTTGCCCTGCCGATGAATAACGTTGCGGGTGTGATGGTTGGATGCCATGACACAGCCGATGCGGAAAGTATTCTTGGTACTACGGGCGGATCTCAAGGCAGCTCGTCGACCACGACAACGCCGGCCTCTACACCGGCTTCTTCAACACCGGCTTCGGTACCAGTTACGACGTCAGCTGCCCCTGAAACGAGTGCTCCGGTTAGCCCTTCGCCCGTGACTATTACTACCGTAATAATCGTCAGCGATCTGCCGCCTTTGCCCCCCACTACATCGGCTCCTTCGTCTGCTCAGTCGACTGCAGTTCCGGCAGCTCCGTCATCTTCAACTACAGCTCCAGTTGTTCCCTCATCTCCAGTCGATGTTGCTCCTCCCTCATCATCCACCGCAGAAGCAGTCCCATCCCCTCCTCCAGTGGCAGACTCTCCTCCCGCAGTAAAGTCGCCTCAACCAACTACTCCTGTACCCGCACCCGCGCCTACACCGACGACCTTCCAAACCGTCATCGCCACCCCTCACATCCCCATCCCCATCCCCGACATAATCACTCCCCCCTCAGCCCCCTCCCACACGCCTACACTGCTGCCCAACCCAACAAGCCTCGTCCTCATCCCCATCCCCGACGACGCTGCTCCGACGATCCAAGCCGTCCCTACCAGCAGCGATACCAACCCTCGCACTACAGAGACTGTCAATGGGACTCCCACCGTTTCCGTCTTCTTCACTGTTACGGTCACGCAGAAGGAGAAGGAGACGGAGACTGTCTTTGTCACGGTCACTGCCTGAGAGGGAGTGTATGAAGCGCATGCAGTATGTTGTGGCATCTCTCGCCCTACGTCTTTGTTAAACTAGACATGACTTTGATTTGTCTTACGTCTTACGACTGCTCAATTTTTCTTAATTCATCTGTGGAACATTCTGTTTGTTATTCGTTTGTTTATTGTGTTGTTGTTTTTCCTTTGGTCTTAATACGGATATAATACTCAGGTAGTAAGTGTGCTGCACACGAAGGGATCATAAAAAGATAATACCTGGTGGAGGTCAAGTTTGTTTTTATATATTGCGTGTTGAATAAAAAAAAGATTATGTTTAAACGAGATATATACTATTTATACCAGATGAATGGGATAAATCACAAAAGTGTGGAATTTAAGTTCAATGTTGAAAGGATATCCATCCCGTCTGTTCTCCTTTCTCTGCTTTGCTCATGCATTTTAATTTCAAATTTTCAATCGCTGTTTTTTATGTACATATAATCCCTAGTGCGTTCCATGTAGCAATACCATTTCATCGCTTTGATATGAAAAAGAAAAAGAGAAAAAGGAAGAAAAGGAAGCAAAGAGTGATAACATCAGAAAACAATAGGGTGTATTGTTCGTTTAGCACCCTTCAGTAAATCAATGTCAACTTCGGGTTCGTGTTGCTTCATACCCCCTCGCGATACGTCCGTCTGCAATCCTTCTATAAGAGTTCGTGATGGAGAAATTTCCCATGATGCAAATGATCTTGATGTAGAAGAAGAAAAAGGCCCACTCATGGAAGAGAGGGATGACCGGTAGGCAAAGCCATCAGATCATAACGAAGGAAGGGGAAAAAAAGTATCCAAAAGAATAAAAAATAAGATAAATAAATGCCGACAAGCGCTAATGATTGTAAAAAGGCAAAATAAAGAAGTTGACATTAATAATTCGTTTTCAGGCCGCGCCGGACAAAGTGTTCCAGTGTAATGATACTGAAGTAAGAAAATGGGGATGGTAAAATGTAAACAGACGGCTCAAAACACAAAACGTAAGAAAACGGCCCCAGATCACTCGTCAGTGTCTGGCACTGAGCTCTCGCTTTTCAGAATCGCCGCTGTAAAGTCCGAAGCCGATCTGCCGCGGTTGAATCGCTAGTTTGTCCCAGGCCGACCGTTACCCACAAAGGGACTCGCAACCTCAAGTCTCTTAGCTGCTGGTTCACGGCTGCCGGTCCCCTCGTCCACGATGCCGTATTTTTCTTGCCAGAGCTTAAGCATAACTTGGTAGATGAAGCGATATTGAAGTTCGCCTTGGACCATGCCCCTACGCTGCTGACGAAGGATATCAACCACATCATAGACAAGGTCGGAACGCTCTGAGGGCATATCATATCTCGCCAGAACGCCAGAATCGAGCTCTCTCATTAAGTGCTCGAGGGCAATGAAGGTACCTGTTCGACCGACTCCGGCGCTGCAGTGGATGATGCGAGGCGTGGATGGTGTGCTGTGTTGGCGGGACAGCTTCATTAGTTCCAGAAAGCCATCCAGATCCTCTGCCGTCGGGACACCAAAATCAGGCCAGCGTTTGTAGAGGAAGTGCCACACAACACGCGGTTCTCTTTCGCCATGGACGTGGAAGAGCAACTTGCGCCTCTCAATGGCACCCCTGGCAAGCTGCTCCACAGACACAAAGGTAAGATCTGCTCTCCAGTTGTCGCCCCATGCGTCGTTGTAATCGTTGATCCCCCAGACGGTATCCCGTCCGCCGGTGGGAAGCTCTTCTCCCATAGGAAAATACTGGTCACACTTGATCACATCAAGCTCCACCATATTCGTCAGCTGAACAATGACTGCGTGAGAAGGGCTTTGTTCCGCAATCATGCGCCAAACGTAGTCGATTGAGGGAATGGTAGGGCCCTGCATGGCGATGTAACGCAGCGGTGGTTTGCTAGGGTCGGACGGGGACGAAAGAGTAATGGCAGAAGCGTTGACATAATCGATCTCGCCTTCCGGGACACGAAGCTTGACTCGGTTGTAAGCCCAGGGTTTGATATTAACGTATCGGTCCATCTTTTCGTGCGTTTCTACGTGTCTGTACAGCGCCCATCGCGGATCTGCCTGGCCGTCGTCTCGCATGCCCTGCGAAACGCGAACCCGTTCGGCCCAGGTGAGTTCCTGGAACTTGGTGTCGATATCTGCGGTAGCGCGCGTGTTGTTAGCGGGGCGTTCGAGTAAGTTACTTGCAGCGCCAGTGTATATGACGTGCATATGCATTCAAGCATGCAGATATGACGCACCATGCTGCGACAGCGACAAAAATAGCGGCAGAGCGGGTGGCAGCTGGTTGACGCTCCTCCGGCGATCCTGCACAGGCGGCGATTTGTGTTGCGCGGGCTGCGATGCTGGCCGGGCGAGCCTTGGCGACTGGATGCCATCTTGAGCCACCACGACGGCCGACGGTGTCGTTGGAGTGAGTTCGGAGGGCGGGCTGTCTCTCGCGCGCTTCGACGGGCCACGCAGTCGCAGGCTCTTAAACGCGGACATCTTATGATGGGCTCTCGGCGACTCGGTTGCGCTCACATTCTCGGTGGCGATGCTGGCCCTGCGGTCGATGGACGTCTCGATGACCGGAGGTTTGGGCTTCCGGCGAAACTGGGGGATCTTATCCATGGCACTGAGGGGAGAAATCTTGGTCGCTTTGGAGGCTGCTCGTTTGACAGCCCTGGCAAGGAGAGTGACTAGGTTGGCTATCGCTGCTACTTTTGCCGTCGCCGTCGCCGCGGTGTTTAATAGATGGAGAGTTGGCTGTGGTGGTGCGTAGAGAAAATCGTATGAATGCCGGGATCCCGAGACAAAGAAGGAGAAAAAAAAGTAAAAGGTTTCTGCGAAGGAGCGTTTCGAAATTGAAGAAGAAAGAGGGAAATGAAGAAGAAGCAAAGAAAAAAAGTTCCCTCGGCAGGTTTGGAAAGAAGAAGACGCGAGGATGGAGAAGAAGAGGAGAAAAAAAGGCAGCGGAGGAGAGGAAAGGAAGCGGCAGTCTATCCGAGTCCAGCGAAAGGCTTGGTACCGAGTACTGCGTGTAAGCTGTGGCTAAGCGCAACGGCGAGGTCTCTTGTACGTGGCCCTAGCGGCGCGTGCGTGGAGTCTGATATGAGATGAGATGAAGCAAGATGCTGACAGCGGAGGGGGAAGGCCAGGGTGCGAGAGCGAGAATGAAGCTCAAAAGTCGATATGCACAGGCAGCGTTTTATACGAAGTGAGGCAACGAAGACGGGAGAGGGCCAGAGGGCCGCTGCAGGATTTGCATTTGCTCTTAAGCGATGCTGCACACGGCTTCTATCATATATAGCATAGCGACATTTCACACCCGAGGATAACAACAAGACACAGCAACCCTCAGCGTGCGCCATGCATCCTTCAGCATTCATCGCCGCTGCCCCCTGCACGAATAATGGAGATTCGCTATATTGCATGCAGCAATCCGTGCATGCAGCGCGCGGTGCCGCCAATAGTGCGTCCCGCCAGCGCGCAGCCGGTGGAGTCGCCGCTCGCCGCATCAAATGGCGTTTCTTCAGCTAAATCTCATCACAGGCTGGCCGAGAGTACCTGCATGCGCATCCGCCGCTAGGAAGCCCAGCAGCAGCTCCGTATGATCCGTTGCTGCTGCTGCAGGTCGTCTGATTCGCTTCGTGCGCTGCGGCGCGTCACCAGTGCCCAGGCCCTGCCCCCGGGCCTCTCATTTGCCCGTGAGATGCATCGCGGCATGGATGGTTATGCGTGGTTGTATAATAATAACTACATATCGAGATCCCAATATCGTACATGCATATTTTGTGGTCGTACAGCAGAGTCAGGAGTGTTTTTCCCTTTCCTTTTTTCCCCTTCGTTTTTCTTCCTATCTTTTTTTTTTTTTTTTTTTTGTCTGTGTTTGCATCGCCGCGTTTTTGGCCCATCCACACCACCAGTAAAAGGCCATGCGGCGATGTCAGACATGTGACACACCAACCCGACATATCCAGGGATGCTGGATGGATGCGAGGAGGTGCAGCTAGCATCTCGCACCAGCTGAGTCCTAGCCTGTTATTGCTCATGGCTGCCTTTTGCAGCCTTTTCCCATCACCCCATAAATTCTCGTCCTCCCCAGGTTTCCTGATATCCGTTATACGGCAGAGTAGACACCTGTGACAAACTTACCGCATTCAACCTTTTGTTCCAGCGTCGCCTTGCGGCCCTTGCCGCCCTCTCCAAGCCGAGCGGTTTGTCTGGGTGTCAGACATAGTCTGTGCACTTCGCCTTGCCGGCCGTGTGCGGCGTCTCCTTCACCTCCGTCCAACGGCCCAATATAAGCTGGCGTATTCAAATTGTTTCGTTTGCCCGTTCCTAGCTGATAGTGCTCGTTGCCTCCCCAGAAGACCACGTCAGAGCCCCAGTATGTCTCATTCTCGGAAGAACGGTTTGAGACAGATGTCTGCGTCACATTGTCCATGACCGCAGAGCAGTGAGTTGCGCCGATGCTTAGGGCTTTGATCTTGATGGGCATCAGTTGGTTCTTTTTCTCGTCAAACTCAGAGAGCCCGGAGAGAGATTTGACCTTGGTCGGCCCGACAGAGACGTGAGTCCATCTTCCGGTGCCTAGTGAGCCACAAGTACCCTGCCCTGCGGCCCAAAGATCATATGTATGGTGAGGCAATCTCTTAGAGGGCGCTGGAGTGCCAGCCTCGCTGTTAGGGGCACTAGGCATGTTCGCCTCACAAGTGAAGAAAGTATTGACTCCACCGGCAGCTATTGAGGAGGCAGTGGACACTGGTGCACTGCTTCCATATAGCTTATGAATCGGTAAGATTGTAGGAGTAGAGATAAATGGATTCCCAATCTGGGTTTCAAAGCCAAGCTGGCCAAAAGTATTGTCGCCAAACGTAAAGATCCGGCCAAGCTTGTCTAGAACGGCCGAGTGATAATCACCTGTTGCGATCTGCTTGACATCAAATCCCTTGAGCAAGGCAATCTCATGCGGTTGATCATAGCGCCCCTTAGGGCGTGTCTCCCAAGTGAGGCCTGGAATACCCATCTGCCCTTTCGACGGGAAGTTTGAGGCGCTCGAAGCTGAGGAGAAAACTCGCCCGCTTGATGTGAGCATCAGGCAATGCTCAAGGCCGCTACTGATATCAGCAACACGCTCGCCCCAGCCGAGGCCCGCCGGCGTCAGGTTCTGAAAGCTGATGGCCTCTTTACCAGACGAGGACCACAAAGACCATGAGCTCTTTTGCTGCTCTAGCTTTTTGCCAACCTCTTGATCGTCACGCGAGGCGGGGATAGCATACACCGAGCCGCCTCGAGACAGCGCAATAATCCTATCATCTGAAACCTCAATCTTGGCAAGATCTTTGCCCTTCAAGGTCACAACCGGTGTTGCGTCTGCCTTGTTGAACCCCAAGCCCCATTGGATGAGATCTCCCTTTTCATTGATAGCCGCGCCAAAGTTCTCTGTAAGCTTTAGATCACGGAGAAGCTGACGATCGAAATATGATATCCTGCGCGGAAGTTTGATGTTCTTCTCATTTGAGACAGGGTCAATGACCTTGCCCACGTTTGAGCCCCATGCGTATACTCCGGGGTGCTCCCAGCTGTTCTTTACTTGCAGATGCTGAGAGCTGATGAGTTCGCGGTTGTCTTCCTTTGACACGCCATGTTTGCGGGCCTTCTCAAACTCCAGCTCGGCCTTTTGATATCCAGTCTCCCTTCCGTCTTCAGGAGCTGCAGTACTGAACTGAGCTCGGAGCCTAGGATACCAGAATGCGCCTGCTGCTGCGACAGCGAAGACGGCTGCAAATCCTAATGCTTTACCTCCCCGTCTCTTAGGCCTCACCTCTGCAGAGTCGCTGATATAGCGAACCCATTGGCGCTGGCTCACACCAAGGCGTGGTCGAGCTAAGAGGCCAATGCGCGACGCCCGGCGAAGGGCAACATGCGAGGTGCTCATGACTGTAAGTCAAGCTCTCATCAAAGAGCTGCTGTAATTGCTCCAGAGCCTACCGAAACACTTTTGGCGGCCCCGCTCTTGGTCTGACTTGACCCGCGTATATGCTCGCAGCTACAGCTGGTGAAGTCGCAAGCGATGTGAGATCATGCAAAAGCTTCGATCTCCAGCTAGAGCTAGTGCGTGCCGAGTTCTCATATCCCTGTACTGGGGTTCCCGTGCCGAAGCTCCATGATGTCAATCCATTTCTCTGGCCGCCAATTGGCTAGGCGCCTTATCGTGCCACTATCGGCGGCCGGAGCAAGTCGCCCCGCCTGGACCTTGCCAATGGCACACGCGTGGCTTTTAAGTTACTGTAGCTGTGCTTCAGTAACTCGCAGCCTCCTGCTTCGCGCTCTGGGCCACCATGTACGAGGACGGCTGGTACAGCTTCGTGCCGGAGCTTAGCAGCAGCAGCAACAACAACAGAAACGAGACGTCCAATGGCAGGCCTCGCGGGCACCAGCGCAAGGAGTCGCTTCTACAGCAGCCCAATGTGCGTGTCACCATCGCCCACTGCTTTGCATACAGCGGGTAGCTGACCATGTTATAGGAGGCCAACAACATTGCCGAGATTCTTGAAGATGTTCTAGAGGAAGCAGAGCACACAAATGACCCTCCCGAACCCACATTGCTCCGACGAGCTGCCTCATACTCCGATTTCTACCGTGTTGTCAGAGCGGAGCTTTTCAAAGATGCCCCTCGCAGGCCGCGGCGGAAGGTTGACAGGAAGAGCAGGAACTGGGAGGCATTGACGCTTTTCAACGAAGAGTCTACATCTTATCAGTATTACCAGAGGGAAGAGGTGTCTTCGAAGTCTCTGGATCACCTACTCTTGGAAGAAAGCCAGCAGGAATATCTGTAAGAATGCGGACGCATATGCCATCCGAGCTGGGCTAACCAGACTAGGCTGTATCGCGACCAATTGAAGATGACCGAGCGCCACCTTGAAGGCTTAATCGACAATGCCAACGATACCTTGAAGCTATTGACCACTTTGTCGCAATCATTTCTGTCTGTTGAGGCTCAGACCTCGACTTTCCAGGCTCAGTGTGAAGAGCTCCTGACGGAACAGCGGCGATTGGAGAAACTCGCCGATGAGGTCGGAACAGATCTCTACTACTACGCCTACCTAGAAAAAGCCACAAGGCGTCTGAACGCTCCCGGGGCCGGCCGCTTAATAGAGGATGACGATTTCAGTGAGATGGTGGAGAACATTGACTCTTGCATCAAATTCATGACTACCCATGTAAGTTGGCTCTTTTCGAGATTCAAAGCGCTTAGTACTGATGAAGAGTAGGAGAATTACCGAGAACGCGACTCATACCTAGCACGATATAGCGCCTTGCTTACCAAAGCCTTGCATCTTCTTGACCATGGTTTCAATAGCTCTTTGGAGAAGGTCTCCAGTGACATTGCTCGACAAATTACGGCTACAAAATCAGAGTCCGCCCGCCACGCTCTAGCTTACGGGAGATTCGAAGAGATGATGGCAGATTCTTATTCTTTGCTGCCAAATACCCGAAGAATAGTTCGATCGGCCTACCATGCGTATGGACAGCCAGTTGAAGTTACCGCAACCTCTGCGACATACGTCAGTACTGTTAACACCATTTTCCGAACATATTTCACCACCCGCGACCGCGATTTGAAAGTAATGGCGCAACATGATCTGGACGAATACCAGAAAGAAGTAAAAAGTCTGTCAGTCGAGACAGCTTCCAGAAACTTCATCAAACAGTTATTCGAGCGGATGTATAGCGAAGACGTTCTTTTCACTAAAATTTTCAACATCGAACTCGCATGGAGCCCTCTTCCGGAGTCGGCTTTCCAAGCTGTCAAGCTGGTCAACACCACAATGGTTCATCCTGGCAACATCGTGCCGCTAGCGACGAACCTACAGGCCGTCTTCCAGAACGCTCAACTCACAGAAACGTGCAGTATAGTTGGCTGGCTGGCTAATGAATACGCCGTGGCGGACTTGGATGAAGATGAATCTCTGTCTTTCAGAAAGTATCGGGAATATGCCGCCAGGCTGCTCGCAGACCACCTGTGGCCATTTACAGACAACTTATTTGAAGCCGAAATCGTGAAATCGATTACCAAGGCCCCGACACAGGATGGCTCTTTGAAGATCAGCCCTGTTGTAGACGGAGTGGCGTCTTCAAACGCATATCCCTTGGTAAAACGAGCGATTGAGCTTCTTGCCATGTTTGATCGAGCAATGCCTAAAGAACGATCTGTAAGTCTATGCTGGTTGATTCCATATTAACCATTGTGTGCTCATCCACTTTTCTTCTACTTATGGCTATTATCCATCTACTCCGTATGCTAATGTGATGTTACACAGGCCAAGAACAGTCCCGTGGTATTCAAAATTGTGCGAGAAACAATTCAGATTCTTCAGCGGGCCGAGGCTAGGATCAAGTCGCTTAAAACCGATACCGACCCAGATCTCTTCATGGTCAAGAATTTACTCATTATCAAAAATGAGCTAGTGTCACTTGAGATTGGTGACATACGAAGTCAACCTCCAGCCATGCAGCATTTTGGGCAGATCTGGGATACTCTGAGTCCTCAGAACTGGGTAGGCTTTTTTGGAAGCGTTATCAGTGGTAATCTCTGGTCTCGAGGTGCACCTTCGGTCACAGCCAAGACGCTAACGGTAGAAGACATGAGCGAGCAGCTAGACGAGCTTCTACGCCAGTCGATTTACGCATTCACAAAACGATGGGCTTCCCTCATCAATGACTCCCAGAGCAGAAAAGTAGGAGTGAGGCCAATAGCCAAGGTGGAGGCTGATCTTGAAAACATTCTCCAAACAGCGTTCAGCAACCAGCCTGAAGTAATTGCGAAGCTGAAAGAAGCCATTCAGCTCAACGCACAAGCACAGACAGATGCAAAGAATGCAGACAACGGGGCACGGAGATACTAGAATAAGAGCATGAGCGCAAAGCCTGAGCACCTGCAGGGCGCAGTAGACCTTAATGATGATAATGATTGTACCCGATAAGAGATGATGTGCCGAGCGGGGATGTGCGAGTGAATTGATGGGAAGTTGTTGGGCTATTGGCTGGTTCTCTCATTAGCGATTTGTGTTGATGAATTACGAGGCAACTCTAGTCTAGCCGTCCCCTGGTCGCTCACAATCGTTGAGAGCTCAACTCGTACGGTTGCACAGACCCTCACAGTCATCCAAAACTGATTGTTCACAACGAGCGAAATCATCATTAGCCTATCTCGGTAGGTGACTTTTTTTCCTCTTCTTTTTTCCCCCTTTTTTTACGATAAGCTATGAGCCTCATCCAGTCCAATTGCATTTCCCTGACTTGGAACGCGGCTGTAGACGCATATAACACCATTATCCGAAAACAGCAGAAACAGGTACGGCATAGAAGTGGCTCCGTCCTCAGCGACAAACCAATGATTATGACCGAGGCCTGGCAGGGGTATTAGCGCGTTGCAACCAACATAACCGCGAGCTGTGAGGACTGAGCAACTGCGACGATCCTCAGCTTGAGGCTAGCATGCTGCAACTTTATCCGCATTTTGGTGACTGCCCACCAAATAGGTACGTGTACCTCGGAATATCGCATATATAAATGATGCAAGATCCCACGAGACATTTTCTTTTTATTTCCTCTCATCACATCAACGACCCGGAATAACCTCCATTGTTCTCATCTTCTGGTGTTTGTTCCCACACTTGACTTCGCTTTACACAAGGGCGCTAAACGCTATACATACTGCGCCAAATATAAACCCCGAGCGCCAATATGGCTGAAGCCGAGATCATCACATACAGAGGCAACTGCCATTGCGGCGACTTTGTGTATGAAATCAAGGTGCCCGAAATCAAAGAAGCATACAACTGCGAATGCAGCATCTGCGTGAGGAAGGGCTATCTTTGGCTTCATCCTGGGACAAGCAATGTGACTGTTGTCAAGGGCAGCTTAGACCAGCTGACGGCATATACGTTTGGTGAGAAGAAACTGAAGCATTTGGTAAGAAGAGAAAACATTGAAGCACGCACGCGAAGGTGACTATGATCACTTATTGACTCAATTCTTCCGGAAATATTAGTTTTGCCCCAAGTGTTCTACTGGTGTGGCGGCATCTTGGTGGAAAGACGAGGAGGCAGACCCACGACATGCTCTGCAGCCATCTTATATCAATGTAAGCTACGCACGACCTTCCACAACGAGGGATGTGAGATGGGTTTGTTGTTGACATGATTTTGACAGGCACATGCTATTCAAGGGCTCAACACCTGGGCCCTAAAGAGAATCCCGTAGGGCGAACCCCCCCTTCCCTCTTCCTTTGTTCAAAACATGGAGTCCTAATATGACATTCGCAGATATGATGGTGCTTCTAAGGGAGAACCCCATCAAAACCCAGCTCACAAGGGAGAATTTCCCAAGCCTGGAGAAGGAGAGCTTGTGTATACGGGCAGCTGCCATTGCGGAGCGCTCACCGTGGCTATGCCGAGCAAACCAATTGACGAGACGCTCGAAAACGTAATAGATTGCAACTGTAGCATCTGTGAGCGTGTAAGTTATCAAGATTCCTCCACTCATCCCTCGTTTGTCTCTAAATTTGACCCTTTATTAGATTGGCTCCTACTGGTTATACCGGCCCGCCGAATCCGCCATCTTAGCCGGAGACGAAGCCAATATCGGAAAATACGAATTCGGCGCGCACATTCTATACAAGGCGTTTTGCAAGATTTGCGGCGTCGGCATGACAAACAACTTCCTCAAGTGCACCGACGAGCATATTGCTGGGCTGCCAAAAGCCCTGGCGGAGATGTATGAACTAAGACATCTGTCGAGGGGTGTGAACGCACGGGTGCTGCATGGGGTGGATGTGGGTAAGTTGAACATCGTCAAGTTTGAAGGATTGATTGAGTTTCCTGGAGATTATGGGAAAAAATAGTGTCGCTTCGGCTATTACAAAAGTTTTGAATATATGCGTTTATTGAGGCGTAGCGTGAACGGCGTGTATATAGTGTATATTCGGTGTCCTCTAGAATAGAAGATATATATAATATGCTTTGCACTTGTTTTACGTTCTTATATGCTCGCGTGATTTGCTTTCTTCATGCATTACCGGTTTTAATTTGGACCTCACTCCCACAGGCTCCAGTCAGGGTTGATTAAAACTTGTTGCGCTGGCACATCGTAAACCACACCATCATCGCCCAACTCTCCTGTAGCCGCAAAGGCATGGAAATCCTGCGGCCCTTCTGACTCGACAATGTATCCGCCTTCACATCTGGTGAAGCTCACCTTCACTTGTTCCCTGTAGAAATCATCATAGGCGGATGAAAGCGCGTCGAGGAGGTTGCTGACGTTGCCCGATGGATGAAGGCTTTCCCAGGGGTGAGTGCAAGAATGCTGTTTGCAGGATTTGAGGACCATCATGAGAGCGTCTAGGCGATCGACCACTCGATCAAGAGGCCATTCTTGCTGCTGATTGTTGATATCGAGAGTGATAGTGCTGGGCTGCTGCGCGTTCTTGGAGGAGAGAAGATTATTAATCTGTCCTGGATCGGCCTATAAAGAAGTCAGCAAAAGGCACCCCTTGATACTCGAAGACTTAGCTAACTGACCTTCATGTCATAGAGCTCCTTCTCATTACTACACCAGACGGAATAATAGAATCCATAGTCCTCTGCTTCAACGCGAAGCCCCTTGTACGTATTATTCGCATAAAGAGGCACGCCATTCTCCCTACCAAATATGCTCTCGGCGAGCCCAAAGCCCCAGAACTCAACGGCGACATGCTCGGAGCGAGGTTCAGCCTCCGCATCATAAACGTCAATGGGCGAGCCATCGAAGTCCTTGTCGCTGATATCAACGCCAGCGATTTTCAATATAGTAGGAGCGAGATCCGTGTGTGAAGAGGGAGCGCGGGTGATTCGCTGCGCGGGGACGCCAGGCCCACGGACGATGAGAGGCACGTTGATGTCGGTCTCGAAGCCGCACGTCTTGCCGGGATGTAGCCTGTGCTGGCCAATGTGGTAGCCATTGTCTGAAGTGTAGAAGATGAAGGTGTTGTCGAGCACGCCGGCTTCGTCGAGACGAGTGACGACAGATTCAATAATCTCATCTACCGCCTGCAATGACCGCAGACGCAGCCTCTGGTACTCGTCACCATAATTAACAACGCTGTCGTTGAGTTTTGGGAGTTTTGAGATCCAGTCAACGCCGCTGGGGGAATCGGGGTTGAAGTTTAGCGTCCGGGGGATTTTATATTCGGGGAAGAGGCCTTCATGCCGCTCTGCAACCTGCGGAGGGTCAAATGCTCCTCCCGAACCCCCGCCCACGAGAGCATGGGGTGCAATTGGCGCAAGCGTTATGAAAAAGGGAGATTCGTCGTCTTGCAGAGCATGATCAAGAAACTCGTTGGCGCTCTCGGCCACGATATCGGTGGAATACTTGCCGACGGGGTTGGTTGGAGGCGCCCCGTTCTTGGTGGTGCTGACATTGTAGTACTGGTACGTAAAAGGGTCGAGAAAGAAGTTGGACTGAGTATAGCCACTGACTGGAGGCGAGTCGTAGTTATAGACTGTGTGGGCGTTGAAGAGCTTCCCCGCGTAGTAGGTACTGTAGCCTGACTGCTGGAGCCAGAGGGCAAGGTGGTGGTCGTTGTATCCATTCTGGACGAATTTGGGGTAACCTCCTGTTTTGTACAAGTCAGAAACTTGACTCTTTTCCTGTGTGTATATGTGGTCAAGGGAACATACCCCACGGAGGATTCACGTTTGTTACGTTGGTGTTGTGAGCAAGCTGGCCGGTCCACAGGCTGACCCTGGATGGACAGCAAATAGCCGCTAGAAGTACAAGGAAATATCAGCTTCTTGTAAACACAATCTTTAATAAGTCTTTGAATAAGTAAATGAAGAGAAAATGGCAATAATTACTGGAGCAATAATGTCTCTCAAACGTGGTGCCTTGATGGACGAGATGCTTCTGCAGCGACTGCATATGATCCAGGGTGCCCATATGGTTGTCCTGGTCATCTGTCAAGATGAAGACGATATTCGGGCGGTCGGAAGCTGCATCGGCCAGGACAGTGGCTAAATACACCCATGACGACGCAAGAATTGCGTGTCGCAGCCTGATATACATTCTAGTAGTCTAGTTGGACGGGCTGTATGTATTATTGAGTGTGTTGCCGGCTGTGCTCTAATACGGTAGAGCTCATGCAGGAGAGCTACAGAATTGGTTGATGAGTGCATTTCTCTCTTTTCTCTTCCGTTACTTGTAGATATAGACTGAGATATAGGATCATCGGGAAAGCTATGGGGCCTCGAGCCCATTGCCCTGTTTCCGCCCCGTCATGGCGATCACGAATGCTTGCGCTCCAGGCTTGCGCCATGGCCAATCTGTATGCCGTGCTCATCCTTGCAGATAGCGGTAGGCAACTCGGGATTTTTAAGCGCCTATCCGACAACCCACAATTCCGACAGCAGATAACTACAGTTAAAATGCGTTCAAAGGCACAGTTTTGAAGCGTTGTTTGGACTTCATATGAGGCTGGAAAATACAAGAGACTCGTGCTTGATGATCCGGCTATCGTGATGTGGACTATTAGTAGTTTTGGAGGCCATTCCAGGTACTGTATTGTATGCAACTATTTCTGATGGATCGGAACCTATCAACTAAGTTATTATGACGATTGAACCATGACATTTTGCGCTGATAAAGCTCGGTGCGAAAATTCGTCAGATTATTTGCCCTTTATTTCTCACAACTTACAAGACTCGGTTTACACCTTGTGTCCCGTCAAGTACGGGATCACAGGGCTTATGCTAGCCCCACTGTAGGTAAAGCATGAGAAGCAAGGTACGAGCAGAAAGAATCGTGTGGCTGAGGCACCGCATATCATTCTCCAGCTAAAGACTCTGACGCGACCTCTGGCCCTGGAGCTTATCCTTATATACCTACTGCTCAAGTTATTAGATAGGCTGATTAGGCATAAAGGACAAGGATTGCACGTCTGTAGGTGTGCAATAAACTAAGTTGGCTTCACACTGCTTAGTAGATCATACGTTGTCTCTATGCGTGTGAGTATTCAGTCGTTCAGACGTCTTGAGATCCAAAGCTGATAATTGCCATCTTAGTGAAGACCATCGCTCGCTGCTGATCAAATAATGATGCATCACCCTTGTGAGTTGTGCCCGGGTCCGCGCAAAACCCCGCCACGCAGAAAATACCACACGGGATTGTTATTGTTATTCCCCGCACGCAGAGATGTGAGCAGAGGTACAGAGCCAAAGCGGTACCTGTACGGTTCTGTAAGAAGTACATGCATGGTAACTTCTCCAGGGCACAACTGTCGGCCTCCCGCATGAGAGGGGGAGTGTGGCAAAGAAGCCCGACGTGTGTCTTGTTCCAATAACTTGCCTGGTACGAACGAAGCGCTCAGTGTGTACTTGATAGCTCTCACCTCTTTTTCGCCCTTTTTTTTTTCGGTAGCAGCATTTTTGCCATCAAAAAAATTGTCGATTTTTTTATCGCCTGCCTTTCAATTACAGGCTTTTGACATTCTATCGCGCAATTGTTGCAGAAATCGACAGCATCTCGCAGTCATGGATTACGAAATAGACCAAGAAAGCCTTGATCTCATCATCCAGCTCCAATTGGAAGATGCTCAAAGCATGGCCAAGGGCAAGTACCGCGAAGGCGAGGCCCCTGATTTCGATCTGGCGCTTGAGCTTTTCAACGCCGAGCTCGAGTCGCTTCACGCCTTCATCCACGATCGGGAAATGGGCCGCAGCCTAGCTCGTGCCGTCGTCAACGATGCGGATGTTATCAGAGAGCTCTGCAACGAAGAAGAGCAGGCCACACGCGATCGAATGCTTGCGCTCCGTGGCTTTGATGGGGATGCTATCACAGTAGATGACATCTTTCCCGATGGAGAGCCATCCGACACAGATTCATTGAAAGGAGCAATGTCTGATGAAATGGTCAACAAGCTCATAGTTCTCTTTCATGGCGATGACGCTCCTGCTCCATCTACTGCAGAATCGTCCAAAAAAGGAAAGCAAAATAAGAGAACGCTGACTTGCGATATCTGCAGTGAAGTGTTCCCGTTCGTCGATATATTGCAATGCCCTTGCTCTCATGATTATTGCCGTGGATGCCTGTCAATCTATGTTAGCAAAGCAATAAACGACGAATCCATGTTTCCCCCTCGATGCTGCGGGCAAGGTATACCTCTCGATGGCGTAAATCAGATCTTCATCTCGGCAGACATACTTGGGAAATACCGCGCCAAAGTGATTGAGTACGACTCTGCGAATAGGGTATACTGCAGCATGCCCAATTGTTCAACATTTATCCCCACGCAGTTCATCAGAGATGAGGTGGCCACATGTGTCAAATGCGAGAGCAAGACTTGCACCATCTGTAAGGGCCCATCTCACGAGGATGAGTGCCCCAAAGACACGGCAACAGTCAATTTTCTTCGTATGGCCGATGAAAATAGCTGGATGAGGTGTTTCAAGTGTCGGAGAGTGGTAGAGCTGACACATGGATGCAACCACATACGTATGTTTCATTCTTTCTCACCCCTCTCTCACCTCTCTCTCTTACTTTCATTCCATCCTTTTTTCTCTTCGAATCCATTTATAAGTTTCTTATAGGCTGCCATTGCGGAGCAGAATTTTGTTACATCTGCGGGAAACGTTGGCAGACTTGTGGCTGTGATTTATGGAATGCGAATAGGCTGGCGGATCTGAATGCCGCTGCGAATCAAGCCATGGACGGACAGCCTCAAGTAGCAATTGAAGATGATATCTTCGATTGAAGTATGTGTAGAGAGAGTGGGGGGAGGGGGGAGAACAGCTTACAGAGGGTATAGAGGTATCACGAAAGAACTTAAAATTTGAGAGGAAGATGACCGCAAACGTAGATGACGGTGTCTCTTGCTGGCTACGACTCATGTTTGAGACGACAGGATGCTGGGGGACACCAACCCAGTGTCCCAGGAAGGAAGGAAATCTCTTGACCTGCATCAGGGAGTATTAGATAGATAGCTACCAACTCCGAGCTTTTAGCCTTGATAGGAGGTCAAGTCTGTTACACCACACTAAAACCTCCTCGTACTTTGACGCGGAGATCCTAAGAGAGATTCTAGCTCACTCCCTTCTATGTCGCTTATTCACTAACATGGCAACGTGGGAAGTGGCATCTGGGATGACTGCGGATAGTTCAATTCCTTAGCCTATCGTCGCGTAATGACGAAAATTATGGTGCCGTTCTCGGTGGTCGGCAGGCGTGATCTTGCGTATTTACCCTTGGCGATATCGGATGTCTATTTGGTCTTTACACCTTTTTAAGTATGGGCACCAGTTCACCAACTTATATTTCCCTCTATATCTATGCGATCTAACGCTCTGGAAAGTGTCTTGTATTGCTGTGTGTTCTGTAACGACGTCGATACGCGTATGATCTGAAATATATGAGATATCTTTTACAGCCTAGACGTGAGCTGCTGTCTCTAGTAGTGTAGATCTGTCGTTTATCTCTAAGTTGGGAGGGTTTTCAAGAATACAATAGCGTGCATATTTTCGTCTTGCATCTGATGCAGTGCTGCTTTGAATTCTCTTTCTCTATTTCCGTACCTGGGTAATTACAGAGAGGCGCAATTTTGGGTTTTGCATAATGTTTTACGTTTGTTGCATGAAGCAGATTAATAGTACCAACATCAAAATCCAGCCCTCGACAAAGGTGAACAGCAGCTGACGAATAATTTCCTTTCAGGCTGTGCATCATAGCCCAATCTGGTCCATAGAGCCAGACCTCCCATTTGCCCATTGAGTTAAGATTAATAAAATCAGCAACCACAATCTCACTCTACAGGGCTGCACAATGCCAAGCGTTGTCAATAACTCATCTGCTGACCAGGTTCATTGGGAAAAGTGGCTAAGCTATTCATCAGTGTCGTGCCTAGCTACTACATGTAGTAACATATTCTCTTCTCTAAAAAGGTCTAGCATCCCTCCCAAAGATCTTGAAACGTATGAGATGTGACCTGAGTTGTCTCACTCGGCATCCCCATTAGATTCGGCTTTTGAATGGTGGGCAGAGGTAGGATTGGGGGCCATTGCATGATAGCGTAGCCTCGTCTCCAAACATACGCATACGAGCAGCCATCGTGGCGGTGTATGATTTGCGTTTTACTGTCCAGCCTGTGGAGTAAGGCATCGCGATGTCTGGCAGCAATGTCTAACTTACAGATATAAGTTGCTCCATGCAAGTGAGCGATGTTGCCATTCTCGCTATACCACTGAGGTTTTGCCACGTTGGAGTGTCTGCCGCTGAGACCGAAAAGTATGTAAGACAGCCTGAGCATTGGAGCCCATCCATGTACAGCTTGCATGGGTGACTTACATGGGTAACCTATGTTCGGCTTTTCTATCCACTCGCTGAAGCCCACAACATCTCGGCCTTTCATCTTAAGCTGAGAGACGATTTCGGCATGTTCTCTGCCTGTACCGTGCCGGAATAATGGAGACATAGCCGATCAATCTATCATAACTTTTCTCAAGCAACGTGTGTCGCATGTGAAAGCATCTCTTGCGTATGTTACATCGAGCTATTCCAAACTTGAAAAATCTTACAGCTGCTTGGCAATATCTTGACCATAGGCTCCACAACTAAATCCTTCAATAATTGACTTTGTTATCACGAAGGCTTAAACAGCGTCGAAGATCAATGGCTTCTTGATATGACAAATACAATATTCATAAGTTTGAGAGTGGTGATAGAGAATTATTATAAACGATAGTGCCTATGATTAAAAGAGAGTTATGATAGCTATACCAAGTCCCAGACAAGCAGCAAGTTCGAAACTCCATTCGGTGAGTTTTCGCCGTCTTAGTGGAGCATTGATATCGTTCCTACCCGAGGCTTTGTGGGAGGCCGGAGCAAGTAGCGGTTACACGATGGCCAGCCGCATTATCTCCTTGCTCTTTAGACGTTGTATTGGGCTTTAAGACTGCCGCAATAGGCTTGCATATGAAGCCCAACCATTTCAGCTATGATGGGTGGGGCATATCGGCTATGCCCAAATTTGACAATTCCTTCTCAGCTCGGATTTATCGCGTAACGACATAAACATTACTATTTCATCTACTACTTGTAGGCAAAATATGTATATATATATACTATTTGCTTGCCACCGCAGCAGATCAAACAACAGGTGAAATAGCATTGCATCGGTATCGGGTCCTGTTCAAACCGTCAGGACAAGATTTTAAATTAATACTAAGCAAACGCTTCAACCAAGCCGGTGTATCTCCTGGCTCTTCATTTCTTCTTTGGCAATGAGGGTTTATGCACTTTTCTTTTGCTGTCACCCCTGAACCCATTCTCCCTCTTATCCTATCCCAAATACTTGATAAATACAAACATATTAGGCCTGCAGTAGCCTAGAGAGCGAACCTACAGTCTCTACATTTAAGACGTCTATTGTTTGCTTTACTCTACAGAGAGCTATCCATTATGGCAACTGGTATGCCTTCCTCGCTCTTTTCCCAGATTGACTATAATTAACGAGATCGCATATAGAACACGCGTCTGGAGACTATACGTCAATTCCCAACGACGCTAATGAACAAGTCCGAGACCGGATCGCTTCTGCCTCTTTCGGAAATGAAGGCCTTACAGCGACTGCAAATGCGCACGGCCGTTTGCTCCAAATCACTCGGTATTTGGGGACAGAAGCAAAGAACCCATCGGGTTTCGTCTGTGTGGAATTTGCTGAACTGCCACCTCCTTTCTCTATTGTGTCACGTTTGACTCGCTTGGAGTCACACGTCAAAAATTCTAAAAGCGGTATGTGCTTTGAAATTAAAGCCAATGGTAATGACAACTCGTGGAGAGGGAACACAAGCATTCCAAAGATGGGATTTCTTCGCGACCGTTGGCCGCGCTTCACCACGGTCACCCATGCATTCGACGTCAATATCGAATATCGCATATATCAAGACACTCTTTACCAAGTATACACATACAAGAAGAAGAACCCAGAAACTCAAGGCATCCCAACCCTTCCACAGCTAACCATCAACGTCAAACCGCTTTTTCAACATCTTGATTTCTCCAAAAAACCTGATAGAATTGACCAGAACCTAACGCGTGGCTATGTGAGAGAGAGAAACAAAGAAGAAAATGTTCTCAGGATCCGGGCAGAAGCCAATGGAAATGGGAATGCGATTGCGCAAACTGCTGCTTGTTTGTGCTTATCGTTATTCATCAATGGTTGTGCTCAAAAATTGTCTGGGGATGACAACACCACTGAGTATACAATTGATCCACCTGACCCGTCTAAGCTACAAGTGAATGGGAAGATACAGATAGCATTGGCTTACACCTTGGGGCAACTATCATCGGAACCCAACGAAATCAATGATATCAATCCCAAGTCTTTTACTGACTCTTGGAGGGCATCTGAAGAATCCGAGGTTAATTTCAAAGAACCATCATTTATGGGGGACGCACGTCTTAATTTTTCACTGAGGCGAAATTTGGAGCACATTCTATCCGTTTGCAGCGTACCTGTTGCTGAGACTTCTCAAATGATTCCTCTGGTAGTCTTGACGTGTGGAGACGTTTCTGGCCACCGAATTTCCACTGCAGCAAGCTTGTAAGTTTTATAGCATCCATTATGATATTTAGAAACTAACATATAGAAAAGCTATGCATTTAAAGTTCTGCTTCAAGCTTTAAGATATTTCAGTAAGAAAGCAAAGTCATCATGCAAAGCGCTTAAGCGCCCTTGTCAAAGTTACGATTGCAGCGCCGTACCTCAGACTCTCTGCAAAAGTTACGATTGTTACATGCGTTTACGGATCTGGAAAATCTGTTACGGGCATGTCAAATGGCTATATCGGAAACTGCAGCGTGACAGTGACAAACACTATATTTGTCCTCACTATTGGGCCAGCGGGGAAGTAATAAAGGACTGGGAAAGCCACTCTTTCTTACGGGGGAGATCTCTCGCTGATACACCATTTCAAATTATTAAAGCTGCAGAATTTTGCAAAATAGCTGGAAATAAAGAAATCAAAAAGGAAATCGCCGATGGAATCCAGCCTATCATTGAAAATTGGATCAAAGAACTCGACGCAAGGAATAAGCAAGGTAAATACGCGTTTCCACATTTCAGAGAAGAACCAACCCATATTTTCTATTTTTCCGATCATGTTATGATATGGAGAGGCCTTAAGTCAATTGAGGATCTTGATATGGTTCAGGAACTCAAGCCAGCGGAGCCGGGTCGAAAATTAAGTTACACATCAGCCAAGATCAGGACGAATATACTCAAGAGGTTTACTACGAAAAACAGACTGTCCAACCAGCGCATGCTCACGATGATACGCAGTCCCTCCGAAACAAAATTTACTCTTCAATTGGAAGATACAGTACTCTTTGACGCCGCTGATTTGGGGTTATTTGAGAAGACTATATCATCACCAAACAAAAACGAGTGGATTAACAAGATTGACGTTTGGAAGAGCATGATAAACTTCCAAATAGATCAAATAGGCAACGAGGACATTGATTGGATACACCCATTACATTTCGCGCTGGCAATTATGATGTCCGCGAAAGATTGGGACATTGACTCCAAATCGAAAAAACAAATGACTGCAATGTTTGAATATTCACAATCAATTCTGCTTGAAAGCTCTTCCTCCAACGGACTATTTCCAGGACAGCTAGACGAGAATAAAGAGCCTATATTGTTCAGCGAAGAGCTGGAAAGTGAAGACTACTGGTACACCACTTTCGAGTTACCATATATCTTATGGGCCTACCAATTACAACCAAAAGGCGCTTCAGGCACTCCACCGCCTCAGCTCCCCACTACATCTCAAACAACTTCGAATGCTCAGTATCAAGAAAGCTTCATGATAAAAAAGAATATACCATTCGACAACATCATTGATACAAGAAACATTGTGGAGTATACAGATGAGTGGATGTATAATGTGCCTCGGTTTTTCGGCCATCAGCACCCCGATTTAGAGTCTTGCGTCGAAAAATTCCTTGCAAAAAGTAGAAAAGTCAGCCCGACGGAAAACCACCCTGCAACAGTTAAAAACGACGGCCACGTACAAATCATGCTGAATATGACTGAAAATGAAACTCAACAGTTTGATTGCGATGTCGGAGGATACTTCATTGATGTTCCTAAATCCAAATCTCTCTGGGAGAAGAAGGAATACACTACAGAAAGGATTTTCAAAAATACTAAAGTGAGAATTTCCAAAAATTCCGAAATGTATGTCCTTCTAGAAAAGGAACGATTATCGAAGGAAGCCAAGAAGAGACTTTTTCATTTTTATCGCCCAAATCCAAGGACCGCGTTGGTATGCTATCTTACCTCATCGGAACAGGATGAGATTTCAGCTTTCTTTCAAAGACATGCCTTGTATGAAAAATATTTCTTCGATGAAATAACTCCGATACTCAATACATGGGAGACCGAACTTCATCTATCCTTTTATCGAATCACCCTTAAAAATGATTCCCCCAAGGCTTCTAATATTCCTCAATCAGGCACTTCTTCAGCAGGCACTTCTCCAGCAGATACTTCTCTATTAGATACTTCTCTACCAAGTATTTCTCCACCAGATGAAATTGAGTTCCCGCATAGTTATCAGCAGAATCAGAATAAGTGGATTACCCGAGCTGCAATGAGCTTTAGGTTCGACGGTGACGCATTCGATCGCTATTGGACATGCCACTTCTTTGAATACGAGCCACAGCGGGCAAAAAAAGAGAGAGACCTTGATGTCTCTGAGTTTCTAACGGCGAAGAAATCTTCGAAAGGAGACCCTTGGAAGCAACGACAAGTTTTGGAGCTAATATTATTTGATGAGATTCTAAGAGAAATGCTGATAGGAACTCAAGATATCCTGAAAAGCGTCAAGACTGAAGGCCTAAGAAATCCTATGAATCATTCATCAAGTGCACAAACCATCAGTCTCACATCGCCGCTCTCAGATCCGCTTGATTTGTTTCGAGAAATCAATGGTGACGTGTTTGATTCTACGACTCAATTATGGCGCAAGTTACACCATATACTGCAAGTTGTGGAAGATGATCTCCGCAAAAACCTAACGAACATTGGGTACTGGAGGGATCGACAGGCAAGCCGAGGATCCAACCGACCGCGATGGACTCTCAAGGATGAACGGGGGTACCGAAATGCTATATCTAAGCTTCTTGCATCAAATAATCAAAAAATCATCAAGTTGGAGCGTTGTTGTGCCGACATCGAGTCGTTCAAGATGCTGCTGTCCAAGAGATTGGAGATTACACGCGAAGACTTGGACCTGCGCCGTGCCAATGACCTTCGACTCTTTACGTATGTCACGGTGGTTTTTCTCCCCATCAGCTTCGCCACCGGAGTGTTCAGCATGAGCGACGCACCGACGGCGGGACTTATGGGCAGCATGGCCACAACCGCAACTGTTGCTCTACTAGTCACCGTGGTGGCCTTGTTCAATGCCAAATCCCTGGAAGCATACCTGGCGCAGCCACTGTTATCCATCTTCCGTCGGTTAATCTACAATCCTATAATTAGCCCATGTGTTTACTTCCTTGCGCGTTATTTGTTTTTCCCTCTCCACGAGTCGTTGCCAAATAACATACTGCCTCAAGGAAAGGTGAAAGATTTCCTTAGGACACTTATGAAAATAGGTGCGATAGGTGAAGCGAGGAGAGAATTCTTCAAAGAACTGGAAAAATCGAATAAAAGAAGGCAAGAAAAAAAGAGTGCGAGGCCTGAGATACGGGCAGAGGAGGGAACATCTCCACCATACCAAGCAGGGTCCTCGAGTCAAGAAACCTTGCGTCCAATGGCACCATTGGAAAGATCAAAATCAAGTTCTCCTTCATTAAATACTGGGGATTCCACACCGACGATAGCAGTCTCCCCTCGGTCAAGTGCCGAGAATGGGCTATGATTGCAGGAGAATTAGTTGTTCATTGACCTGAGCCCTGGTTGATGTCTTCAAACTCGCTCTTTCCCCTTTCTTCAGCTTGTTTGGAGAGCTGATTACAGTTGAAGGGGCGATTCGGTATCATTTGAAGCGTGGCTGATGTTCGACTTGGCCTAGCGCTGTTAATAAACTTGCCAGAATGCGAAAATAAGATGAGGTCCAAGTTTAGTCAGGGCATTTCGTAGCAAGATTGAAGTCTCACCTGTTAGAATCTGTGAAAATGTGGTTCGTATTATACGTCCATACCTGGCCTAAGGGTTTGCAGAATCTTTGGCATTTATAGCTTGCGGAGAACTGGATTCCAAGTTCTAAATTGAGAAGGTCATTTAAGGCAACGATATTTTTATAATCCTTAGAACTGTAGTTTTAATGGCACACTTTGACCTATCGTCGTTGGCTAATCTATAAACATTAGAGCATACACACTGAGCGAACAGCATCAATATCTTCTGAGTGAAATAACGAGAAATTGGCTTGCACACTCAAGGTATGAAACTATCTTCCTCCATCTTCACCTACCAATATAACACCAAAGTGGGCTTTTTAAGTCTTACTCCAACAATTCTCCATCCATATCCACCCAATTCGTGGGGATTTTTCTCACTAGCAGCAATACGTCTAATAGCCCCACTTGATAACGACATCGGGCCATCGGCGCCTATCTTGACAACTTTCAGGCTCTTTTCTTTTTTTTCTTCTCTAATCTCTCCCCTCTGTTGGCACTGTCTTTTGTTGCTCTCTTTTCCTTTTCTTATTTTTTCTTCAATTCGTGTCTTTATGCTCTGCTTTTGATTCTTGGACGCGTTTCTCGCTCGAATTCGACATAGCGAATCTCTCTATTCCCCCGCCACTTTCTACGCGTATCCGTTATCGGCCGCGGGGCCACGCAGGTCAAAAAAAATCATGGCGGAAGTAGAACTGGAACAGCAACAGGGCGGAGGGCTCCAGACGGCGAAAGATCTCTTCTCTGGCGCAGTTGGAGGCATTGCGCAAGTCCTGATCGGTATGCGATCCCACTTCCTTTTCTCTTTCTCCTCTCGCTGTAGGACCATAATTCGGCTTCGGCGCAATTCGCGACGGCCCGGAGCGACGCTTTCCCACGGCTTTGCATCGCAACTTACTAACACAACCTGCCAGGCCAGCCCTTTGACATCGTCAAAGTCCGTCTCCAGACATCGACCCAGTACGCAGGCGCCCTCGAAGCCGCCGCCTCCATCTACAAGCATGAAGGAGCCCTCGCCTTCTACAAGGGCACGCTGACGCCCCTCATCGGCATCGGCGCCTGCGTGTCCGTGCAATTCGGCGCATTTCACGCCGCTCGCCGCTGGCTCGAGGCCCGCAACGCCAGCAGCGGCCACAGCACGACCGACCTCAGCTACGCGCAGTACTTTGCCGCGGGCGCCTTCGCCGGCGTGGCCAACGCGCCGCTGTCGGGCCCCATCGAGCACATCCGCATCCGCCTGCAGAGCCAGCCGCACGGCGCGGGGCGCCTCTACAATGGGCCCCTGGACTGCATCCGCAAGATCAGCGCCCACAACGGCGCCCTCAGCGGCCTGTACCGCGGCGAGGCCGTCACGGTCTGGCGAGAGGCCTTTGCCTACGGCGCGTGGTTCACCACGTTCGAGTATCTCATGAACTCGGACGCCGCACGCAACGGCATCGACCGCAAGGAGATCCCCACCTACAAAATTGCCCTGTACGGAGGCCTTGCCGGAGAAGTCCTCTGGCTGGCCAGCTACCCCTTCGACGTGGTCAAGAGCAAGATGCAGACCGACGGCTTCGGCGCCCAGCAGAAATACCCGACCATGCGGGCTTGCTTCGCTTCTACATTCCGTGCCAATGGCCTCAGGGGATTCTGGAAGGGCATTGGACCTACACTGGCGAGGGCTATGCCCGTGAGCGCGGGCACTTTTGCCGTGGTAGAAATGACTATGCGAGCTATCAACTAAGAAGGAGGGGATTCATTAAAACGGAAGAAAAGCGAGCGAAGCGATTCGAAAAGGCGAAAGAGATGTATGAAAGAACAAAAAACTGTTCTCATTCTTTTTTCTTATTCTGGCGTTATTGGCTTGGGATGGGCATCACAGCCGAATTGCACGGTAAAGGTCGAAGCGAAAAGAGATTTTGGATGGATATAGAGACGGGATATGGGAAATTATTGCCTGTTAATTCTAGACAGCTGCATGATTTATTCAGTGGAATATTATGAGAGCCAAACATTCAACATGAAATTAATCTATTGATCAATCTATTGATCAATCTTCTTTATAAGCCGTATTGATTGTTATATCTGATAGACACAACAACGCAATTCTTTTCATACCTCTCTATGCAAAAAAGTCAAAAGCCATCCATCTTACCATCCAACATTCTCGTTATTCTCCACTCGTCTCTGGAGAATTTGTCTTGCATTCAGCGGTGTCAACGCCACGAGCTGCAGCTCTTCAAGTACCGCACGCGCCTCGTCATTGTCGGTAAACGCTCGATCACTAGCTTGCTTGAGCGTGATGGCGATGGTGTCCTCGCTCTCTCTAGTTGCTGTGGCTGGCAAGTTGAGCAGGACAAGCCCCTCGCGAAGAGATTCCAGGGCTGCCGAACCATTGGGAATGAAGCGGTCAACAAGTGAAAAAATGGATTCGCAGTCATGCGCAAATTGTGCTGCCCCAAGCGTGGTGAATGTTTGACGGGTGAGAATACTAGTCCATAGCAAGTCTTGGAGCTTTTCGAGCGCATCTCGCCAGACTCGGCGAAACGAGGCCGCAGAGAGAGCTTTGCCTAAGAATTCTAGGTTCCTCTTCAAGACGCTCAGGGGTTCATCTAGTTCAGGTGTAATAGAGAGGGCTGAAGAGTCATCTTTTGGATAGAATCAATATTAGTAAGACTTACAAAATACTAGCGATGAAGATGTGTATCAGAGCTTACCAGGAGTGGCGCTTTCGCCAATTGTTGTCCACTGGACATTATGGGTATAGGCACGCAACGCTTTGGAGTGAGAGTCGACCAAGGCACCCACCAGCAGCTCTTCACCAGCCTTGCGACGGTTGGTATATGCCGCAATGGTTTCGTCAAAGATGGCCCCATTCTCGTCGCCATCATCAACAGCAGCGACGGTGCGTTCCTTGAGATCATGATTATTCCCAACCACGTTACCGATTGCTGAGCCCTGTGGCTTGATTTGTCGAGATTGACGTCTGTGCAGCTGATCCCACAGAATGACATAAAACTGGACTCCGAATTAATACCTTTCTTTGCCTTTGGATTTACTTGAGCTTACTTCTTCATCGCCCCACTCCGCCAACGTGTTGGCAATATGATCGGAACTACCAATCACTTTGCACAACGTCTCCAAAGCACCAGTCCCCTCCAGGGCAGCGAGCTGTTCTTTCGTCACACCGTGGATGGTCCGGCCCAAGGTAGAGGTCAAAGACTGGTAGGCTTCCAATGAGCTTCTCAAGCGATCGTGATATCCATCGAGAATATCAAGTTGAATATCCGTGAGAAATTTGAGCTTTTGCTTGACTTTGCGGAGGCGTTCATATTTTGTAGTTACTACCCGTAGCAAATCTGTGAGTTGCACAGCCGCAAATGTAGGCTTCATCTTGCCGGGCAGTGAGTAATCATAATCAATTTTACGCGCATCTCTTGATTCCAAGATGGCCTCAAATCTCTCCAGCGCAAAACTCCTTTCGGCCTGGTACCACACATCAAAATACTTCTCCAGTATGATCTCTGACAGTCCTGCCCAGCCATTCTCGGGATCGCCGCCGTCATAGTTGAACCGAGATCGGATATTCTCATCTAGAGTCATGACCTGGGATATAAAACTGCTCAAGAATCCAGGGTTCGTATGCGTCTCTAATGCCACTGCGTCAATCTTCTCCCGAACGACAGGTAGCATTGCAGTGACGAGAGCACAGGCAGGATCCACATATATGGTCTTATCAGCCACGGGTGTATCGTGGAACTTGGACGCCAGGAGATGGCCCAGATTATCGCGAAAGAAGTCCTCCCACTTTTCCAACGTTGTCAGAAGCCAGGGAAAGCAATGGGTGCCAACTGATTGAGCGCTGCTGGTTGGTTTGTCGCTCATAAAATGAAAGCGAAACTCGGTAACGAACATCTTGGCCATGACCTCGAACGGCAAGAGGGTCACGATTCCTGCGCTGTGAACCACTTCTGGCATCTGCAAATCGAGAAGCTTCTCCACGCAGACAAGCCATTCTTCGTCCATCTCCGACTGAGGATCGACTTTGGGCCAGCGCTTCTTATTTAATACAGTCTCTAGCTCGGCAGACATGATTTGTTTCATTTCATCCCAGAGATTCTTCGTCATCCTTTCAACATGATCCACAAGATGAAGCTCGTCATTCCCGGGCAGGGACCTCAGCTTAATCGCCAGCTCTTTCAAGAGCGCATACGGCTCGAGCGCCTCTTTAGGGCTACTCGGTAGATGAGACCGCGCCTCTTTCCGTAGTCGCTCAGCATCTTGTAACAGCAAAAAGTATTTCTGAGCCAGCTCGACATTCTGCAGCTGTTTCATGGGCTTCTGTAGTCGCGCAATCGCCTCGCTCGGCGCATCGGAAGCGGCAGCTATTTGGACGCGCCTGTCGATGCTTTCTTGCAGCTCGTTGAACTCGGCGATTCGAGCCTGGAGGGCTGCCTGGCGTTCATCGCTTATGCGCCTCGCCTCTTCCAACTCTTTTGCAGCATCGTCGAGCTGCGATTGGAGCTGGTTTCGCTGCAGTTCGACATTGGTGAGGAGCTCGTCGAGGTTGTCGAGGTCAGCAGTTGATTGAAGCTTGTCCTCTAGATAGTCCTCGACGCGGCTATCCAGGGAGCTGCCATTGATGATTCCAGACAAGGTGGCCATAATTTTTATACGTGGCCATACCAAGTTGCATCGAAGCTGGAAAGTATGACGATGCACGTTGCAAGTAGCTGGCCATGCTTATCGATATGAGCTTCCGAAGGTTATCCGAGGCCGATGTATGCAACCACTACTAGGCAAAGAGGACAAACACTGTATGATTCACGTTGCCCTTTGAGCATATTTAGAAAGCTATGAATTCAATGAATTGTTCATTGTTCGTTTTGTTCGTTTTGTTCGTTTTGTTCATTTTACTGTTCATATGATTGCAAAATTGGAGATGTACGTTCACTTATAGCGCTGGTGATAGCCGCAGCACCAGTTATTCTGCAGGTACGGCAGCGGAACAGCTGCTCCGTGTTTATGGCAAGCTGCAGCCATTACCTGCAAAGACAGGGGGTTAGGCTGCAAATGCTACCACCAAGAACAGCACTGAAGTGCGGTGCTTACGAGCGCAAAGCATTGCTGCATTAATAAGGGGCCGTGACAACAAAGAGTGTAAAAGCCGCGTGTTTACTCTGCATTTATTCTGCGTTTTGATCGCCTTTGTTGACAGCAGGTGGCAGATTTACCTCTGTTTGGTACGAGTACACAAGCATTCTCCATGTTTACTCCGTGTCTTCCGAATAACAAGCGAGTAGATCTAAGTAGGAGAAGATGTAAGTTGCTATATATAGGAAACCAAAACATGTTCTTACACGTAAGTAAGCGGTCAGTAGCAGCTGCGCCTCGCTGTTCACCTCGATCCATGTATTGATCGTATGGAGCGCCAATTAATGCCTGACACGACCTAGGCATTAGCTCCGGCGCAGCTCGACTTGGCCGCGAGAAACATGGATTGTCATGGCAACACGCCAAGATTATACGAGGTGCAAGTGTAGCGCTGATGGTCGGGTGCCGTACACGGAGGTTGAAGTATGTAGGTAAGGTACTCATGTTGATTGATATCTCGTAGGTAGTTCATCTTGGCCTAAGAAGAGCTGGAAGGATGAGGGAGGATTGGAGAGAAAGCGCGTAAAGTGCAAAAATACCGTGTAAGTGCATGCGCCTGTAGTTGCATCCAAGGTCAAATTTCACATGACAGGCTGTAGACGCCTCCAATAAAAGAGGCCAATCCTCAGGCTGCAGGGCCGCGACAAATATGCGTGTCTTACCCACCCGCCGCTGCCGCCTCATGAGCTTGAATGCCTTTCGCTGAAGATCGATCGCGCGCAAACCACGATGAGGCCAGCCTCCAGTCCTGCGACAGACGCGAGCGCATCGGCCCCGTTTGTCGCCACCAGGCCCTCGCAGGAAAACAATCAGCGATCTTTAGCGCACTGATCCCCTGCAAGGCACCCGCTGGAAAACGGGACATATCCACTGCCACCCCGGCCACAGCGGCGCCGCTCAGCCTCTAGCGAGTCCAGCTGCTAAGCGTTCGAGTCTTTTTGCACAGAGCCCGAGCGCCAAAGCACCTGAAAAAACTGCGCAGCGCACCTTTGCGCGTCGCAGCCAAGCTTTTTAAGCCCCGCGGCCCCACGGCGCCAACGTCACCCCCGTTCCCCGGCCAACCAAAGTCAATACCAGAAATGGCGTGGCTGGACGAACCAAAATGCGAGCCCATCCCTACTAAAGTAGATTCGGAGCTCCAGCGTTGCAATAAGCTGCGAGATCTAAAGATACTTTGCCGCTAACTTCCCCAGCCATCTGAATTTTGAAGCAAAAAAGAAGCGACAAGCCAAAGAAGAAAAAAGAGGGAAAAGCTAAAGAGAAAGTTACGTGTTACATACGTTGGGCTGCAGCCCCCCTTTCCTGTCAATTCCATTTTTCCCAGTTCCTCTTTTGGAAGGGCGACTCTCATCTTCTTCTTTGAGCCAAGTGTCGTCCTGCACGTCGTCCATGACAACTGAAGCCCGCGCAGCACGCAAGACATTCTCGTCGCTCTAGGCATTCCAGGGTCTGTAGCGGGAAGTCCACGCAGCCTCCGATTTGCTTCAGTATTCTCTATTCACGATTTACTGCGAGGACGAACCAGGCGACTCGGAATAGCGCCGTCAACACCTGCCGGATCTGAGTGAGTGGGCTTCTCACCGCTCGCTCATTCCAACGTGCGTTGCCGCCATCCTTGCATCCACGCGACATTATTTGCGCGATTCTGCGGCGGGATTCGACCAACGATACCGTGACGAGGCCTCTCTACGAAAGACAGAGAGCACTGCACGCAGCGCAACAGGGATCCTGCGCAGTGCAAACGACTTGCGCTCCCGGCGCTTAATCTCCCACGCGATCGCCTCTTAGTCCCTTCTCAATACTCGTCACGTCTGCATCGTAACGAGGGACATCGCCCTCTGACAAAACACCCGCAATGGCGACGACACGGTCGGGTACGAGCTCGAGCTCCAGTACCACGATCATCTCGGTGCGCCGATTCCATCGAGGATGGCAGAGTGAGTTTCGCATCGCCGGGCGCTTGGAATGCGGCAACTCAGTCCTAACAATGTGTCTCAACAGGATTCGTCCCATTTCTCGGATACCACCACGTGCTGATGATTCTGATCGTCGTCGCAATCATTCTACTATGTACGTCACCAAATGACCCATCCAATTGTTCATATGCCGTTGCTAATCGCTCAATCGCAGCGCTGTTGCTTGCTGGCTGCTCATCCTCATCGCCTCTAATTCCCGGCATTTTCCTGCTTTCCATCTACTACAAGTCTTACGAGGCTCATCCCGATACCGCGCAAGTTGATTACAGCTTCTACACGGCGATGCAGCGCCTTACTGGAAACGCCGAACTGCAGGCTCGCGTCGGTTACTTTGGCATCTGCGTCAACCCGGATGGTGGCTCGTGGCTGTGTAGTAACAATGCGACAGCCCTGGCCAGGGAGGTCTCAGTTGACCAAGACCCCCTCAATCTCATCTGGCTGGCTGCCCAGTTCAAGGATATGATTGTGTTCCCCTACTTGATGTGAGTATCCCTGTTTATAGCTGGATGCGCATAAGTACGTTGCTGACATGGACCCTTAGCATCATTGCCATCATTTTCGCCTTCATCTGTCTGCTCCTCCTCGCTACTTTCCCTGGATGGCACGAGGAAGAAGACTCTGAAGGATCCGAGCGCGAGGTCAAGCCGTTCCCCTCCCGTCCCGTCTCGCAAATCGCCCTGGCCATCATCTTCATCGCTTCCATCTTCGTTCTCGTCTCGGTCCTTTGGCAGCACACCGCATCTGTCGCAGCATCCGTCATAGCCCAAGATTTTGGAAATGGTGTTGTCAAGAGTGGTGTCGGCACCAGCGCCATGGTAATGGGTTGGTTCGCATTCACGCTACTCATCATCGTAACCATCGGCCTGCTCGTAATGATCTTGAGTATCCGCGTACTGAGTTCGATGGTGTGATGATGGGGGGTTTAATGGGGGTGTATGCAACGACGAGGACTTCGACAGGCAAGGGAATGATATATGAGATGGGAAGACTACGTGTATATGTGATGGGCAAACCAGGGGCGTGTAAACGGGCGGCACAACTTCGTACTTTAGGGGGTTGGTTGGTTTACAGGCAACATCAGCATCGGAGTTACCAATGGCGTTCACGAAGAATACATAATGCGACACTACAACGACAAAACACCGAGAAAAAAAAGAAAAAAAATCCTCTCAATACCCACCCCTCAATCCTTTTTTCTCAAAACAGACGACAATTCGAGCCAGCCACCTACAACAATTCGATCTGTGCCACTTCACAGCGGCCATTGCGCAATGATGGACACCAATCAACAAGCCGAGCGCAATCAACATAACGAGAGCGAAGACGATTATTGTGTGATAGATGAGATCGAACTGGGAGGACGGCCAAATGTCACTGAGCGAACTATAGACGACGATAATGCACCAAGTTTTTTTCTGACGACAAATGCGTTATGTGTGATTTTATGGATTTATGTTTTTACAATGTTCCTTTTCTTTTTTTCTTTTTTGTGTATGTCTTGGTTTGGGGGAAATACAACTGGAGGTGAAAGAGGAACTCGAGATGTGGGCTATACATACTTATTTATTGACATTTGGTGCCCTTGGTGCCTTTGTTATTTTTTCCTTTTCGTGTGCAGGATGATGAAAACTTATGTTTCTGTGGATAGGACCAGAAAGATCATATTGACTGCTGTCCAGTTCGGAGTCAACACAAACGGGATTGGCGAAATGTTGCGTGATGCAATAGTGCCAATCAGGGATGAAATGTACATACATTATGCGGGCTGGAGATGTTTTTTTTTTGTTTCCCTTGTTTGAAATAGACTGAATAGTGTAACAGTACCTACGTGGTGACAATCAAATTTTGTAGTCAAACAACACAAATGTTGTCTTTCATAATGGCAGCATTTTCTTGGCGACAATATCAATATTTCTTGAATACTCATTTCTCTCGTAACGCCCTCTCATAATATCTAATTTCAATACCTGTGCAAAAACACTCGCCCTTTCGTTTCCTAGCTCTCGCCGCAGTGAAAATTCAAGAGAATAACGCAATGCTACCGTAATAATAACAATAAAAGATAAAAAATAATTCTTCTTCTTCTCTCTCAAAATTGTTCATTGTTTACCCTTATCCATTTCATTCGTTTCATAAAAGTTGTTTCTTTTTTCTCTTTCTATTCCCTTATATACTGTGTCCAATGACGCTCCCCCCGGGCCTCTTGAACGGATGGGCCTCCGTGTTGAGCACCCACTCGTCCAGGCTAATGACACTCGGCTCCGAGAACAGCAAGTAGTAGTACTTGAGCGTCTCGGCGAGCCAGAAGCTCTCCATCTCGTCCTTGAGTCCTGGCTCCTCGCTGTTGACGTCGTCAATGGCGCTGTTGGCAATCTCGGTGCGCGTGGCCCGGATGGTGGCCTCAAACATCTTCCAGCCTTTTTCCATCCACATGGGGTCGCCGGTGATACGGTACATGTACCATACTGATTCAATAGCTTCGGGTCTATAGCAAAAAAACAGATTAGCTAAAAGAAATGAAGAATGAAAGGGGGCGAACTGAGAAACAAAAAGTCTTACCGCAGAATATACTGTCTTGATGTAATCTGAGTAACGCCAGGAGCAAAACCCCATTCCTTGATCCTTGACTTTACAAACTCCTCATGCGACTGCGGCCGTTCAGGCATAATCACTTGCTGCTCGTCAAACTCCTTGGGAGGCAGCCTGTTGGCTTCCAAAACCGAGTCAATGGGCGCGTTGGGGTCTCGTTGGATACCAACCTCCTCTTTCACAGGCTTCTTCTCGGCATCGCCCTTGAGGCCAATCTTGTCCTTGAGCGACTGCGGGAGTTCCGAGCCAACGTCGAAATCCTCATATGCCCGTGCCTTGCCGTCTTTCGGCACTGGAACTGCAGCCCTTTTGCGAAGAGGTTTAGCAGGGGTGGCAGAAGAATCGCCGGCTGGGGTAAAATCCTTTGCACTTTGCTGCAGAGCATCACCCGCAGTCTCCTTTTCTTTATCACCAGTCCTTCTGGGATCACCATCGGATGTAAGGTGGACCTGCTTTCCTTGCTTCTTCTCAATCTCGGCTACCTTTTCTTTCCACTCGGCCATTTGCTGATCTCTCCAGTCTTTTGACGGGTCCAACTTCTCATACCAGAGCGTCTGGTTGAACTCACACTTCTCCAGCGTTGGACAAGGAAAAACTTGAGATCCTTCCGGCATGATGCCAGAGACGGTCGACTGATAGGCCCAAACACAGCCGTCGGTCAGCTGCTTGGCTATCTCGAGATCCTTCTCACGGCCAAAGATCTTGCCGCCCAGACCGTACATGCCGCCAATAAAGCACGTCAAGTGCGTTACTTCAAACGTAGCGCTCAAGTCTTGTGAAGGATTTCCATTCGTGCTAACCTTGGCAGGAAAGAGGATATCCCAGTCACCGTCTACCATAGGTCTGTAGAGGAGCCACTCATTGGTCGCTTCGATAGTGTCTTCGTACAATTTCTTGTATTTGGATTCCAATCCACCGAGGAGGAGAAATTCCTTCGGGAAGTATTCGTATGCCGAATCTTGGCCACCTCCCATGTGGTATTGTTCGAATCCATACCCACCACTTACTATGCCTTGCGGAACGCAATCCCACTTGGACGTAGAACCGTCTGCTCCAAAGGGTGGCGTTCCTCGACGCTTTTCCTTCACAGGTGGCACTTGACTCGACTTATCCAAAGCCCTTTCACTCGGAGGCACATCTCGGCGACGGAGAGAGTCAGACGGGCGAGTCTCTGTTTTGTCATCTTCACGAGGACCTTGTTTGGCATAATCCGGGTTTTCAGCGCCGATTTTACCGACAACAAATTCTGACGTCTTCACCCCAGCTGCGTTGGGGGGGTTTTTATCGTCTTTGGGGTCCTCTGATCCGATCTTGCCAACAACAAATTTGCTGGGCGCTTCAGCAGCAGGCATATGCTTGACCGGTGGCTCCTCGCTTCCCATCTTACCAACGACGAATCCCTTGGAATCCGCATCAGTCGGGCCAGCGGGTGCTTGCTTGTCTCTTGGGTCCTCGGAGCCAATTTTTCCAACCACGAAGCCATTTGGTTTTTCGGCGGGCTTGGCTGCAGAAGATTTGTCCATGGCCTTTGCCCGCGCTTCATCAGCAGCTTGCAATTTAGCGAGCGCATCATCAGCACCGAATTTTCCAACAATAAACTCATTTTCCTCCGCAGCCTGGGCCACTTGGGTGCTTTTTTCGCCGGTCGCTGGCTTTGAATTGAGATTCTGGCCGGGCACATACCCAACCGGCGCCTCCTTGGAGACGTCTTCATCCATTTGCTTCTGTGCCGCTTTGCTAAGTTGATCGCGGAGAGCCGTCGCAGTGTGGTTGCAGCCAGAGGCATCCAGATTCTCGGGGAACAAGCCAGGAATAGCAGTACCCCTCGTTTGCAAGTCAACCAGGGCGTCAGTAATGCGGTCCACGGCGTCGTAGTATTTCATTTCACTGGTAAGCTGTGCCAGGCGTGTAAACTCCATTGATAGAGTTCCAAGCTCCGCTATGCCAACAGAGCCGGCGCGATGAGGCTGAGAGACGTATTCCGGCTGCCACTGGTAGTACAGAACAGGCATTCGATTCGGTGTATCGAATATCCCCATGAGGATCTCAGCAAGCTCAACGGCCTTTGTAAGAAGCCAGGGGTAAGCGCCATCATGGCCACCGCTGACATCGAAGGCGCCGAGCAGGCCGCCAAGATATCGAATCGTGGTTTCAAATACGGGAATGCTATTGCGAGGAGTGGTGGTAAAGTCAATCTCTTTAACGGCCTTGGCTGCTTCGTCAAAGTCTTCCTTGAGGCCTGCAATCCATAGCGTATCCAACGAATCGACCAGGGTGGCAGCCCAGCCGCAAAAGGGATCGCGATACTTTTGAGAGACGGGCGAAAGCTCGTCATGCATCCACGCAAACTTCTTGTAGCCGGACCATGCTCGCGCAATCTCTGTCTGAACTCGCTCCTGTCTATTAACTCGTCTAGATTTGGCTTCGGGCGACTCGCCACCAAACTCGTGCTGAACCCGGGGTACTTTGAGCGGCTTCCCCGTGGGTAGGCTGATGATGGACTCGGGAGGCAATGGGTAGTGCTCCTCCGAGGGGTGCCAGTGAGTGCTGTGGTCCACCGGTGTTCCTGGAAGCGTCTTGGGGGGATGCTTCTGGTGAATGCCGTTTATTTCTTCATCGTCATCGGCCGTATTGCCATTGGAAGCAGAAGCCTTGCCATTGATCGGCGGTTTCGAGTAGTCAGGCTCCTTAAGCTTGGGAAGTTTGACGCCGGGCTCTTCATCGTCGTCCAGCTTGCTCTGCTTTGGCTGGCTGGCAACAGTTTCCGGCGCCGGCTTGGACTCGGGCTTCTTTTGTTCGGGCTTGGATTCGACCTTAGATTCGACCTTGGATTCGGGTTTGGATTCGGGCTTGGTCTTAGGCTTGGTCTCCGGCTTTAGCTTGGTCTTTGAAGCGTCAGGCTCGGCCTCTGTCTTGGCCTTGGCCTCTGGTTCGGTGTCGAGCTTCGGGGCAGGCTTCGGCCGGCTCTCTGGCGCCACTGCGGGCGGTGCAGCGGGCGAGTTCGCAGAGGGAGGGTATTTCAGACTGGCATAACGCGAAGAGTCCTCCCAGGCATTCTGCGAGACGCGGTAGAGCAGGAAGAGCACAAACGCTGCACAGATCGTAAACAGCCTATACCTACGGCGTGCCATCGCGGTGGTTGTAGGCGGAGCACTTCCACGGCCGCAACGAGACGATCACTGCCCCCTTTGCTGAAGGGAAATGTCGCGGGCGAATCAACGCCTCGGGTCGCAGCGCAGAGTAGCCAAAAGTGTTGAACTGGCCAAGAAGCAAAAATAGCAAAAAGCAGAAAAAAGAATAGGCCTGATGGAAACGCCTCTACGAGCACATGAGCAAGCGCTCCAAAAGCTAAAGGGGAGAGCGAGAAACGCCACACAGGACAGGCACCCAAAAAAAGAGACAAGAGAGAGAGAGAGAAAGAGTTACAAAAAAAACAACAAGCGGGAGGGCCTTGCCGATCAGAGATACGAGAGCAAATAAAAATCCCAGCAGAGCAGAAGCTGCAGGGACTTTTTCTGGCCCTCACGGCGCTTTTGGCAGCATCGTGCTCCGGACTAGTGACATTAAGCCGTTGGTGGATTGTCTTGGCATTTTTCGCGAAGCAGCAATTGGGAGCATCTCGAGCGGACAGGAGCTGAGGCGAGGTACAATCCACAAGTACATGTAGCGATGGGGTACCCCGGCAGGGCCCTGGAGGAGCAAGTCCGGCACGCGCCGAACGAAATCCGATGGAACCATTGAAAAGCATAAGCACTTGGAGCAGCGTATCTGTTCGATTTAGTAGGTGCTCGGTACCTGCACTATAAAAGCCACCAACCGATCAAGGTCGAGAGAACATGGATTGAAAACCAGTAAATGATCAAATTTACCAGCAAAAGTTAATGTTCCGTTAAGGTTGCCTCGTAACTTGGAAAACTTGATGCATGAGATACTTGAAGCTCTGGTACAGCAGTGCCTGTGCTTCGGAGGACTACCGAGACTTAACACAACACGGAGCAATTAAAGGTCCAGTACCTACAATGAGGACGGCACCACTGAAACGGCGCCCGCCGCATCTCTCCCAATCCCGGACGATTTTAGAACCAACCATGCAGCCAATGTACAGGTACTATTCTCTCGTAGGATAAGATACTGGCAGATGTCCATATTGCTCCATTGCCCCGACTGACAAATGCCAGCAGCCCATATACAGCGCACTCAAGATCAAGTCCCGGATGCCACCTCGAAAATCAATATTGCTAGCGGTTTACCAGGTGTTAAATAGTTCGATGTCGATGTGCCCATTAGGAAGGTCCAGCAATCATAATCTTTTTTTTTTAGCCGTCAGCTCACGTGTCCTTTGTCTTTCGCAGTTTAGATTCCTGCAGGCCTCCAAAGCACAACATTGAAACTATATGTATAGAAATGTATCCATATGCCAGGGTGTCACACTTGATCTAGACTCCGAGACAAACTCGGGTCGTACTTCAAGATGGCCGGGATTCCTTATTAAAACAGCTGCTTGACTGCCATTTCCGAAGCTGACACCTTATACCGAGGCATATAAACTGAAGGCGCCCACTAACCCCCATATTTGCCTCTTCAAACAACAAGAGTCTCCCCTCTCGTCTCGAATCCTCGCAACAACTAATTTGGTGCTACTGTATTAACCAAAACAGCACACCTATCGGAAACCAATCGCGCCGCCCAATTCATCCTCCCCCGCCTAATAAAGCCTTTCCCGCGGTCTCGACCGCGTCTTTAGCCTAGGGTTAAATTCGTGAGTGGCCAAAGTCCTGCAGATTGGCCACCGTACAATAACCTTAAACTACCTGGACGTGCAGCGTAAACTTTTTCTATTTTTTATCCTTTTAGGCGTTGTGTATCTTATAGGTACAAAAGTGTGTCAGTCAGTAATAGCCTTTTATTGGTCGCCAGCAACCGCAAAAGAAAGAAGATTGAAGCCAACGCCGCTGTCTTTTTCTCTTCTACAAATCCAACGTTAATCCATCGCGCCGGGGCGCCACTCCAACCCAAGTATGTTCTTTTCCCCCCCAAAAACCTAAGCCCATCAAACGCTATGCGTAGCCTTAAAATACAACCAGAATAACCCTCTGATATCCAAAAGGATAAAGAAGAAAAAGGGTAATAAAAATTGGAAATCAGATAGAACAAAAATTTCATCTCCCACTAACATCGTGCCTCCATCATACAAGTCATCTTATCCGGTTCTGGGCTTAATCTTCTTATATAAAACGGTATCGTAAAAGTTGTAGTTGGAATCCAATTCGCAAAACGGATGTTGTGACAGGAGTACGTCGGCTGTTGGCCGATCAAATGGATTCCTGCATTATCAATGTTAGCTCAAGTTGTTCTCCCTTGATATTATTTTTTCCACAACGTACACTTGAAAGCAATCCATCATAAACGCCACCGCGAGGTGTCCTATGGTTTCTTGGATATCTTCAGGGATCGGGGGCGTCTCCCCGTTTGCAATCTTGTAAATGGCTCCAACAGCCTCCTCTTTGCTCCACGGCCGCCGTCCAGCAAACATTTCCAACACCACGCATCCCAAGCTCCAAATGTCTACCTTGGCACTGTATCCTTCGTTCTGTGACCGGATAACCTCAGGCGCCATCCAGAATACAGATCCCTGCATATTGTTCGACTTGTCATTACCATAGATGTTATCCGTCTTCTTGGAAATGCCGAAATCGCTAATTTTGCAGGTGCCATCAACGTCAAGCAGAATATTATCTGCCTTCAAGTCTCGGTGCAGAATACCTTCTCGGTGTAGATAAGCCAGTCCAGATAGCGTCTGCCGAGTCAGGGACGATACGACCGATTCTTCGAATTTGCCATGCTTGCGCAAGCATGACCCAATGCTACCACCAGGAATATACTCTAGGAAAATGCTTATGCTGGCTTCTTTCCTCTCGCATCCTAGGTACTGTACGATATTGACATGATCTAGATGCTGCATGGTGTCGATTTCGCGATCCAAAGCGGCCACGAGCTCCTTCATCTTATTTTTATCCCCAGCCGCGGCTTTGGGATTGACTTCGACCTCTTTGACGGCCAAGAATTCACCAGTCGTGGCATTCATACCCAGATACACGCGCCCATAAGTACCCTTGCCAATGAGCTCGCCCTTGAACCACCTAAATGTGGTTTGGCGCTTAGGCAGGGTATCCTGCGGAACCTGGGGGAATATCATGCTTCCACGTTGATCTGGTCGAATCTGCACAATCTTTGCGTTGAACATCTTGGTGCTCTTTCGACGCATGATTCCGCTGGTAGGAATATTGCCCGAATTGTGCGGTGCATGCGTGAATCGCTTGTTGGCCTCGTGCGCGCCCCGAGCAACTTCACGGATAGACTTCATCCGGCCCAACCCACCAGAACGCCTCATGCTCCTCTGCGCTACAGTGGGTATAGATGGACGGCGCTCAAGAGCTTTCAGTGTAGACTCGTCAGAGCCGAGAGTATCTCCATTGTCATAAATGGACTGGCTAGAGGACGCAATGCCAGCGGGAGGGGGGTCAATGTTATCTTGATACATGGCAGGGGCCGGAATAGGAGGAGGTGCACTCTGCTGCGGTGACTCCTCGACTTCAGCAATCGGCGAAGTTGCCACCTCTCCCGTGACGCTATCCTCTAGCACGGGCTCATCAAGATTGTAGTTGGGGAAGAAATCGTCGAGGTTGTTGAGCAAATCATCAGTGGCAGGTCGATTTGCCCACACATCCTTCTCGATAAATGACTTCCGGCGACCAAGTTTGGTCTCCTTATCAGATTCCCATGTTGCGGAGCCAGGAGTTCTAGGAGTGCGGCGTGATTCTCCGTTTCCAGTCCTGTACCAGTCATCGGCGTTATCGCCTATGGACTGGGGGGAAGTAAAGGATACCGATAGGGTCTTGTTCTTTGGCCGTGAAGTATTCACAGTCAAGCTGGGTTTCTGCGCGTGCCCAGGCCCGCTGCCTTCTCCGCGGCTTGGTCCTTTGCCTTTACCCCTACCAGCGAGCGGAATGGCAAACAGCCCGTCGTCGGAATCATCATCGCTATCGCCACCCGGTGATGGGCGACCCTGCGATGACGAGAACGCTTGGGTTTGAGACGGCTCGGTGAATTGAACATCGGTATCTGTAAAGTCTAGATCTGGACCAGGAGATTTTGGGTTGGCAAGCTGTGGAGGGGATGGCGGGCTGGCCACTGGCGGGTGCCGGGCTGTACTGGGGCTGAGCTCTGCCGGCGACGGCGGGCGTTGCCCTATTATGTTCATCTTAGTAACTGCTTCATCCTCTATCATTGTAATCGCCAAAGGGGGCGAAGGGGCAGGTGAATAGTCCGGCACAACAAAAGACATGTTTCTAGGGCTCCAAGTAAGAATCTTGGGAGAGCCTGAGCCAGGACTAGATTTACCCGAGCCGGGTTCGCGAAAATTAACAATAGACATAGCTTTCTTACCTGTCGGTAGCTGCTGCTGTGGGCTCGTAGCTGGCTGTGACGCAGCTCTGTTTGGAGATATACCTCGGGGCCCGTTGGCCGTCGACTGTCCGATGGCTCCCAGGTTTCTTCCCATACCAACTAGTGCTGCGCCAATAAACCCGCCTTTGCTCGCAGCAGGTATGCTAAACATGCTCTTTTTGCTATTTTCCGATACCTCAGGCTCAGGGGAAGCGGAAGGCAGCGGCGGTCGTGACGCCGTCTGTCCTTCAGCAATGCCGGTCATATTCCGCCCCGTTTTCTTGCTAAGTGAGTTGGCTTTGATCAGTGTGGCAGAAGGGTCACTTGGTGGTGCTGGTGGCCGTCGCTGAGGGAAGAGCTGATCAGGTTTTCTGTCTTCGTACGGCGAGTTTCGAGGCTGGTCAAAATCAACATTCCTTCCCACAATGCCAAAACCTACAATTGATTCTGGTGGCATAGTTGGGCTCTCTTTCCTGTTAGCTTGCTTCTTCTTTGCAAGATACTCGCGTTGCTTTCGTTCTAGTTCGGCCCTATACTCGCTCGCCTCCTGAGCCAAGATCTGCTCGGCCGAACCCTTCTCATCTGATTTCTCCCCTACTAACGTATTGGATCGGGACGTGGGCGGAGACGAGCTGGATCTCTGGCGCCCACTGAGGCGCGCATACGCCTCTTCATCTATTCCCGCTGGGTTGCCATACGGTGACAACAAGGACGGCATTTCGCTGCTCAAGCCCGGGGTTAGTGCGCTATGTGAGGAGACAAAGAACTTTAATGTCCCTGTAGGGTCGGCTTTCACGCGCTTGTTCGATAGGAGCTTTTGGTCATCTAGAGGCTCCGTATGTTCAAATTGACCCAGTTCGGTCGTGAATATGGATGAATTCTCAGTATCTGGCAGGCCAAGACTAAGACAGATTGCCCGGCGAATGTCAGCAGCCGTCTCTGCATCGGTGATGTCGCACATTCGATAGTTCCACAGATCCATTGTGGCCAAGACATAAATCCTGCCTTGGGTGGTGCCACTATGTTTTGGCCTATATTGCGAGGTGATGCTAGACGTATCCAAGTGAGTGTCGCTGCTAACATCGGAGCCGTGCGTCCCCCCTTGTAGAGGTTTATGAAGCGCTGGCGACGTGGGAGAATCGAGATCATCTGGTGATGGGAAAGCGCCGTCTACTTGCTGGCGCTTCTTCCTAGATAGAAAACTGAGAAAGGGCTTCGAGTCCTTGGCAGACGATGGGGATTCGGCTGGCTTGGAGTAGGCTTCTTGATTTCTTGATACGGACATCAGTTCTGCCAAGCTCATACCTCGGGTCAACAGACCAGCTGCCTCAGGTGGAAGTCCAGACCCATATATCGCGGCATTAGATGCAGCCGAGTCAGTGCTATTCCTGGAGCGATGCGTAAATTTGGATGAACTTGGCGAGGAAGAAAGAATCGGAGTGGTGACTGAGTGAGAAAGGGTAGGTGGAGGAGCTGGGCTGCCACCTGGAGTCGAGCAAAGAGTTCCTTGCTCGCCAGTGGGGCTCTGGCGTCCGACATCGAGGTTCTTTAACATTCCTCTGTGATTCGTGTCGGCTCCATTGGCAGTCTGTATGGCTGGTGGCCTGGTTTGCGAAAATCTTCGGGCTGCTAACGTGGAACTGAGTGGCACGATAGGGGACTCAGCAAAGTCTGTAGTATCTGAGCTCGCAGTAGGATGGCCAGATGCGGAATGATTGGTAGAAATAGACTCCTTTCGGCTGTGCGCAGGAACTGCTTTCGAGGCCTCAACTGGTCGCCCGGTAACGATACTCCTGATTAACCTCCGCATACGTTTACCCTCCTCTCTCTCCTTCGGCTGCTCCCATCCCGTCCCACTGTTCGCACACTCTTGCGCCAGTCGAGGATACACCTGCTGGTGCATCATACCAAAGTTTCCGCGGCCGCCATGGGCACTTCCAAGCTCTAGGAACTGCGCGCCGTACAGGCTTAGATGTCTGAAAGTCTCCTGCCAGTCCTTGGAAAACTGGTTCTGTGCCAGCCACTGCAAGACCCTGTCCAGTGGCCACTGCGCTGCTATCTCTGGCGGAATCGTGCTTGGCGCTGTGGCGGTGGTGGGCGCATTGGGCGCGTTTGAAAGCGTCTTCGTATGGGTTGCCCCCGTATACACTTGCTGCTGCCGTTCGTCCATCGGGGTTGTGGTAGTTTCCGTCCCGCTTTGCGGTGTTCCCCCGTACTGCCACGTATTCTGCGTTTCCTCCCGACCAAATCCCGGTATGCCCACGCCCTCTCCATACGTCTCCCCCGTCGGTATATACGTTGCTCCCATTCCATCGTTTGGGCGTGGAGGAGGAGGTATGGTCATTGCGTGTCCAGCTTGCACCGCGTGTCCAGCTTGCATCGCATTGTAGAACTTGGTAGGATTATACGGCTGGTGCTGGCTGGTGGCTGGCGGTGGCGGAGGAATGCCATACCCAGGGCGCCCATCATAAAGGCGGCCAAAGTTGCCATGCCAGTTTTGGGATTGCATCATGCCGCTTCCAGGAGGAGGGCCAGGCGGTGGTGGGATCATGACGCCTTGGCCCGGAGGCACAGCAGGATATCTCATCGGCGGGGGGGGCGGCAGGCTCGTCATATTCATCTGAGGCCCGACCATGGGGGGCGATAAGGTCGGAGGAGGAGGAGGAGGAGGCAGCTGGAAAGGCCTCGTGGGATCGTTGCCCGAGACATGCCTCTGGCCGCCCTGATACATGGTCAACAGCAGGAGTGCGGGAGGGATGCCCGCTTCGAAGAAATGGATGGCTCGAGGGAGACGATCGCGGCCGTCGCGGGCCGCGGTCGATTATTAGCGGTCGACGCTAGCCAGCGGACGTTTATATATCGCCAGATCTCGAGGATGACTGTCGCTGTGGAAGAGGAAGATTTCTTTCAGGCTGAAGCCGATGTTGTTGGTTCTTATCAGACCTGACAGACTGTGGCGCTACGCAGGAGCAGCTATTCCTCGTGGATATGGTTCTCGCTCGTCCGCACGCTCGCTGGTGTCACCTGTCTCTCTGCGTCTGCATCCAGCAGGTAATTCTCGAGTCAAGCGCCTCGAACCGACGACTGGCGCTGGCAGTCGCTCCAGAAGTCGAGCGCGGTACGTCAGTTGGAAAGGTTTTGGCGGGAGATGAGCCGATGATGGAACATGAATGGAGGTCCGCCTGGAAGCTCCAAAAAGATGGCCGGTGGGCCAGCACAGCCAGCGCATGGGGGCTGGCCTGCGATTCAACGGCTCTGGGCTTAGCGCCTGGGGCTTAGCGGGTCGGCCTTCAATTCTAGCAGCCTGCAGGTCGCCGGTTCGCTGCTCGTGAGTGCGCCGCAGCCCACTAAAGCTGCTCGCAAAGTGCTGCTGCCAGAGCCTCGCAGATGTTGATAGCGGGCTAGTACCTGTTTTAGAGCCTTCTTTCAGCGGGTGCGCCGCTAGCACAAACTCGTAGCGCAGGGGCCCCTCCTTAGCTCCTGCAGCCCCTGCAGCCCCTGTAATGCTGCCCGCCCAGGCCAATGAGAGGCGCCGGCGTGAAGCATCTTGATGAGAATCATTTCACTTGCGGACAGAAGCCGTGATCCATCGTAATCGATCACCGTAAACGCGGCCGCTGCGTGAGTGCCGAGCCAGAGGTGCCCGTTGGACTCTGCAAACAACGACAACAATGAAAACATGCGCGCCATATTAGCAATATGATGGGTCGCCACATTGGCAGTTGACTTTTAAGAAAGGCCAGCGGCCCCATCTGGAGTTGCGAAAAACGGCTATTCGTGTCTGTTTTATTGTCATCTCCACTGGCCTTTACGACGATCACAAAGCCAATATCTTTGAGCACGCAGCCGTCTAATCTGCCGATTCCAAATGCAAACGACTTATATTGTAAGGACCGCGGGTTACGAGGCAGCGCGGCTTCATGTGCCGAGCCCAGCTTGAAGTCTCGTATCTCCATTGACTATGCCCAGACGGTCTCTCCGAGAACGAAAAACTGTGACGTTAGAGCTCCATTTTATTCTAACAGTATCTTCTCAAACTCCTTTGCTTCCAACTCATGAGCTTAGGTATTGAGAAACAAGGAAAGCAAAAATTCTTGATTATCGAATGATGTCACTTTGGCTCTGTTTTTTCTTGATTTAGACAGCTAAATATATGTCCAGAGCAGCGAGCAGGGATTTTTTCGTGCCGACGACGATTCCGTCCAACATCAGCACTACTTCTCGGCTCCGATAAACGCTGTTCCCACTAGCGGCAATCTTTAAATGTCATCTGATTCCATCTCTCCATCTTACTGATAGGCCGAGATAGCAAGAGTCAATTCATGCGTGCTTCTCCAGAGGCTCACTATCCCCAACTTGTGGCTTTAATCTTCGGTGCTGCGCATATTCTGACCAGCATTGGACCTGACAAGTCTTGAGATCTCTAACTAAGAGAGCACGTATCATACAGCAAAAAATGGCATCGGCCTTGATATTCCAGAAAATTATGAGGTGGCTAACGAGCTGTCTATGTGTGCTAGGGGGCGTATTGGGCGTATTCGTGTTATACATGTACCGTTTGACTTTCTCGTATAAAGATTGCCAGCCCGTGACATATTTGCCGAATGTGTTGAATTCTCTGAAAGGGGCTGCGTAAGATTGGCCGTTGAACTCTGTCAAGCTTAGCAGAAGATTCCAGTAAACGTTATCTGAGTTGTGAGCCCAAATTGAATGCAAGAAACCATCCTGTTAGGGCATGCCTATAGGTGTATAGAGTGACATGAAGATGCTCTCACCAAGCATTTCTGTGATGTGTCTCAGAACCGTGGGTGCCAACAGGCTTCTCACGCGTCTCAAGAGAATACAGCTACTCATATCCATTGATCTGCCACCTTGCCCATCTCGTACGTAGATTCCCGACAGCCAATAACTTAAACTGAGAGGACATGTATGTATACATCAAATATCGTATCGCGAGTAGCCAAGACACAGCAGCTCAGGGGTAATGTGAAACGACTTGCAGACTTACAAATAGATTTAGTATATGTTATATCAGAGTTGATAACACTCGGAAGAAATAACATTTAACATAAAACTCGTTCATACGAACAGTTACTCTTGTCTTCGATAGATATTTGTCCTATACGATTTCGATCCTGCCACGTAAGGACTGCGCTAATGTTTGGGAATACGGTGGGAAGCAAGCGGTATATGCGTAGGTAGATAAGCGTACATGTAACTACATGTAGACAGACTCAAGATTTCTGCTCGTAAATCTCTTTGCATAGATTCATCAGCCGCGCGCGTGTCAGTCGATCTCGAGTTTTCGCACATATAGGGAAGCTACATGTCGATTCAGTTCCGTATCTGTAGAGTCACAGACCAGAAATATTGCAAGCAGTTTTCAGTTTTAAGATAGTTACGAACCAAGCTGAGACTACTCAAAACCGCGATGGGAGAGATCCAGGAAAGGAGCCGGTGTTAACAGATGACTCGTGCCGCAGGCAAACAAGACAATATCATTATCAGTGCTCGTCTACCCAGTAACGTAAACTACAACATTATTGATGTATGTGTCTTGTGATAGATATTTCCCCTATCTCGCAAATCTCACGAATCTATCCACAAGTACAACGCAACTGTCGTGCGATTTTCACAATACTGCAGCCGTTTTGAACGATAAAACGATGCAGCTTTCAGTTAACGTAGGCAGGTTCCGTTTCTCGTCGATTCAACCCTCAAGGCCAGTGTAAAACGCTTCATATATACATCCATCAATCGCCATAGAGGCACTCTATCAACAAATATCCATCACTATCTCAGCAAGCATAACATTGAACATCATCTCATCAATTACACAAAGTCAAACAATGCAAGCCATGCAAACCATGCAATGGCCTACATGACTTTGGGACCTTTTGCCCTTATGGAGAACCTCGACAGGAGAGTCTTGGGCCAGCTGTTTGCCAAGGCCATGAGGACAAGGCTTGGTCAATCTCAGAAGGAAATTCAGCTAATCGCTGCAGATGATATTGGCGATGCTACGGTCGAACCCTTTCTTCACCTAGAGACATGGGGTTATGGTAAGGATATTGGTGCATTGTCAAAAACATCGCTAGAATCTAGCTAGTCCCCGAATAAAAGAAATAGTGGTCGTAAAGGATAAATTGCTCATTTATCTGTACATAAGTACCTAAATACATGTGATATAGTTGTACAGAGTAAGAATGTTAAGCGAGTCGACTTGTCACTTATGAGGCGTCGTGCGCATAGCGGCCTCGCCTTTAAATTCACTTCAGTCTCATATACACTTGTATCCTTCCACCAAATTCTTTAATTCATCATTCGGTAAGTAGCTCTCGCTTGTATGAAAACTGTTTTCGCTGTCGCAGGTTTACTAGTATTACTTACCAACGTATGCAATGGTATTATCTTGACACTGACACGCAGCTATACATTTGCACTTCAAGCAATAATATAAGCGCCATTTGTTATCTCAGAATTCCATCTTCTTATAAACGCTCTTCATATTCAGAAAACGAAACACACACTCCGAATATTGTCTCGCGTCACCTTGTTCTACCTCAGTTGAGATAATGATTCACAGTTTCTGATGTCTTTCACGCCATTAGGCTCATATCAAGAACGAACATACTCTGAGCATGAACAACCCTGAGTCTCTATGAACATCAAGACTTGAATCTAAAAGGAGCGATTGGGCTTTTAAAGACACCGTAACTCAGATTCGACACCGAGCATACTTTGATTGGAAGTTCAGTGCTGAAACAAGAGCAAAAACGCAGATTAGGCAACAACAGAGCTTGGCAACAGCATAGAGTTACATAGTCCAGCCATCATTGTACATTCTTCAAAGAGAAGCTCCAGGCAGACATGAGCAGTTATAGTCACGTAATATGATTTATCATCCCCACAAAGTACCGTATCTGAAGACTCTCCTCACCAAAGTTAAGACTAATGCAGGAAGCTGGGTCACACGGACTTTGTCAGAGACATATCAGGGTATAGATCCAAAAAAAAAATAAAGCAGTAAGAAGAATTATTAGTGCAGGAGTATGCATGTACAGAGTACAGCACAGGGTATGTGGTATTTCGCTATTGATGCGTGATTCGTTTATCTGGAGAATTAAGATACTCTCATCATTGAATGTCCAGAAACGGCCCATGATATCTTGGCCCCAAAAAAAAAAAAAAAAAAAGAAACAAAAACTGAAAGTGGCTGTGCGATCAGCCCAGTCGTAAGAATGCTTCCTGATCCTGGTGCCCCTGCTGGTTCTGCAGCCAGCCAAGCCAATGCAACGCGCTCAAAAGGCATAAAGAGCAAGAACGCCAAAAGAATCCTTTCCATCGTATGCTCCATAACTTATACACTATCATGTTATTCCATTAAATCAAGTGCCCTCGCCACATTGCAGACGCCTAAACCATACAATTGCAAGGAAAGAAGAGCTGAAGAAGAAATGGCTGATAAAACAAGCAGTGTCATTTCAGGTCTTGCAAGTCCTTTTGCCAAATTGGGTGCCAACAGGGTCCCATGTAGCGCCTCGGCCTTTACTCATCCGTTTCCATCCGGAAGTGTTCTGATGCTTGGTTCCCTGAGCCCTCGGCGGTATTTATGGGGCAACTAGCGGCGGAGCGGTGAAGACAACTGGCGATGACCTCTAACTCGGCATGTCGGAGTCGTTCAAACGCATTATCGGGGTATTAGTGTATGGTAACTGCATCTTCCTTGACGGCGACACCCTCGAGCGGTCTTTTCCGCTATCCCAATATCAATGCCACGTTTCCAGAGATAGTTGACGTATACACCCCTGTCGCCATACGCATCGAGCTAACGTCAACAGAAATCGCTAGAAGGGCAAGTATTCAAAGGTCTCCATCACGATTGGCCCGTTGGCCTCACGGGCTTACGAGCGTACACCACGTAGCTATTGGCCGTTAGTAAGCTTCTCCTCGAGCCTAAAGTCATGCATGCATTAGACGATTTCGCCAACAAGTGTACTTACTAAGGCCAGTAGGCATGAACGCCCAGGTCTCGCAATTCCTTTCGTAGCATGGCAGAAATTACCAAAATCTCCTCTTCCGTCCAACCCAGGCTCTTTTGGAATAGTCGCATAGTCATGCCTTCTAGATGATTCATCAAGTTGTGTTGTTCCCAGGCTCCAATAAGCTTCAAGCGCTGGTCCTTGGCCCAGGGCGTACAGGGCATCTTGTACACCTCTTCCGTCACGCATTCAAATCCGCGTTCTTCAAACCACTGTTTGAATCGGGTCGGATCATCCACCGGAGTACCGAATCTTTCGCAAGCCGTCTTCGTGAGATTCGCCCAGTTCCGAAACGTACTCTCTTCGGATAATGTGCCGTCATCGCAATGTAGCAATCCGGTATAGCATTGAAATTCAACCCATCCACCAGGTTTTAGATGCCTATGGAACATTTGGTCAGAATATCAGTTCTCGGAGAGGAAAATGAGAATGTTCGGGCAATGCCTGGTTTGAGGCTTGAGGAGAACAAGCCGTACCTATATGCTTGGTCAATTAATCTGGGAAAATTTCGTATTGATAAGATCAAGTCACGAGAGAATATGAAGTCGGCGCTGTCTGATTTCCACGTCCAATTTTGTTCAATGTCGTCGAGCTCGAACTGGCAGTTTGGCGGTACCCTTGACAGACTTGTCAGCATTTTGATACTCTTTGTAACTCCAGTCTCATACGTACCATTGTGGTTGGGTAGGGGCTATATCAACGCCAACAACCTAGGCAAGTCTATATTAATATCCAGATTCATATCAAGTCTTTTTGAATCAAGAGTCTTACCTGTGCTCCGGGGTAGTCATCGGCGACCTCGACACACCATATACCTAATTGAATCAATATCAGCAAGTGACGAGATGACATTCATAGTTTCAAGTTGAATTACCTGTGCCGCATCCTAGATCCAGGATCCTCTGGGGGTTCTCGCCAATCGGTGATAGAAAGCGTCGCTGCTTCAAGAGAGCGTAATATTTGGTGTGGCACAAATCCATGCGATCCAACTCTTGGTCATCCATCGGCAGTCCATACTCTGAAAGGAGGGAAGCTGCATTAGCACAAGCTCTAGTGCTGGCAAGCTGCAAGTAACAAATATGAGGGTTGAGATTGGCACGGAAATCTACACACCTTCTTTGCCATAGGCAGCGTACACACGCTGGCCTTCTCCCACAACACCATGAAGGATGGACGAGGTAACAGAAGTCAGCGAAGACTGGAAGCTTCCAATATCGTTGCCCTAGTCAAGTTAGAAGCAGTCCCGACATCAACGGACTAAGCCCATGAAGGCGCATTTGATAAGCCACTCACTTCGTCGAAGTCATCCGGTGGTGACACCGCAGACTGTGTCGAGCGCATCGTGTTAGCAGTTGAGTTGAACAGCGTATCGTCTACAGCTGGCATGGCAGCAAACGGCCGGCCCAGTCTTGTCGTACACACCTCATCAGGGGGGATCATTCCGGACGGCTCTGTCATTACAGCTAATGAAGGCCGTCTGTCGTCCATGCTACGCAAAGCCAAGAGGCAGCCCTCTGGCAAACTGGCTCTCCGGCTCAGTGACTGGAATGAGAGGCTTCGGCGTGGGCTGTGCACAGTGAGAGCGCCCGTCTCCTTTCGCTTGCCCTGGTGATGGAAACTCCAGGCTCGTCGTGCTGTCGTCAGCCAGAGTTGTGTTTTGGCCGGCGGAAGTTGACAAGTCGTATGGGAGACCCGATGGCGGGTTGCAGAGCACTGTTGTAGTATCAAGCTGAGTTGTGGAGGGGGGAAGCGACACTGGCAAGAACAAGGAGCATCTACTCTCGATGCAGCAGCCCTTGCGAGTCGACAGAGAGTGTGGCGTCCCTTAGTTTCGTTTTTTAATTTTCTTTAATCCTCGTCGACAATTCGTGGGAGCTGCAGTGGGAGAGGCGACGGTCCGTTGTGTTTCCGAGCATAAGGTTTTGGCCAGCCAGACGTCAGTCTCAACCGGCTAGAGAGAGAGAACAGAAAACGCTAGTCGATCTGCCCCCGAGGAAGAAAAAGGTTCAAAAGCTGGCACCCTGAAACAGAGCGGACCGGACTCGCCGCCCAGCCTCTCTCCTCTCTCACAATTCAGTTCACAGGAGCACATGCGAGCACACGAAAAGAGCGCGGCCGGGGACAGCGCTGGCTGAGCTGGGGGCGCGCTATTGCAGTACAGAATACAGGTACTGTGCTCCGTGCCAGGCGAGAGAAGCCGTCGACTGGGGCAATGGCTGGAGGGGATGAAGAGACAGTGAGATCCTCTTCTCGCCGAAGATTATCACCCTAGTCGTGTCCACTTCGTCTAGGGTTCCCGAAGCGGTCGTGGCGGATTGCTGGACGGCCGAGTCAGGCGTGAGCTATTAGCCGCTTTTTGCGCCCAGGAGAAGAATGCAGAATCAGCAAGCTACAGTACCAGTACAGCGCGATAGAAGAGAGGAGGGACCGAGATGAAGGAGGAGGCGAGGAGAGGAGCGGGCTGGCAGAAGAACCAACAACTCGGAAACGGCCCGGAGTGGAGGGGACATGTTGCGATGCCCAAGATACGGGCTCAGGTACGAATCGAGTACCTACAGCACGAGGTAGGTATTGGGCACACATCAGCCTCAAGCTCAGCACACAGATGATGCCCTGCAAGAACTGCTTGATTCATAAGACGGCCTGCGAGGGTTGGACGGCTCTCCGTACATGGAACATGGATGGACAGAGGTGGCATCGCCGTCGTTGGTCTTGCCTTGATCAGTCTGACTACGCACACCTAGCGAGAACCACGCACTCAGCAAACGGGTCAGCCCAAGCCTGCATCTGCAGGTTCTAATCTTGTACCTGTACGTGTCTTCTACCCGGCCTCGTACTCGCCGCAGCTGCGCCGTTGCCTCGACTTTGCTGCATCGTGAGCTGCTGGGTCCCGCTGCCGAGGTCGCATACGAGTGCTTGTTCCAGTAATGCGTCCGCAGCTGCGAGGCCGAAGACAATGGAATCCACCTCCGCACAGCAGGTGCTAGCAAAGTACAAGTATACGATGGCCACCTTGTCCAGGATAAACAGCCACTCTGGGGGGGCTCCATGAAAGGAGAGGCCTGGCCTTGACAGCTTCAAGATTAAGGTGGTCTAGGCTTCGGCCGGTTGTCGATGTTTGACGCAGCTAACAATGCGCCGTTTCGGCATGCTAACTCGTTCCAGGCAGCACTCGAAAGATGGCGAGTGAGCCATTAAGTGTGAAGTGCCGAGTACCACCTTGCCTCGGAATCGGAACTTCCAGCAGCTGGTTCCTGGTACCTACAGCAGTTCCCTGGCGACTATGGCATGGGCAAGTACAAGTACCAGCTGCATATGCCTGTAGCAAGTACCGGCCGGAACTGCTGCTAAGATCTGTAGTAGCTCCCGTCTGATATAATGCCATCAGATTATATCTGTACAGAAACAGTGCCTTTGCTTGTAAGCCATTGCGCTTCAACTCTTCTCACTGAGTCTTACGCAACACCCGTGCCTGTACTACTAGTAGTACGCAGTATCAAGTACTTGTACCTACTACTGCCGCTCACAGGTCAACCACAGAGCTGCATGTCTCTCTCCTACGGTAGGGCTAGCAGCGCAACGGGCTAGATTCTCAGCTGCTGCCGTGACTGGCTGGGTAAAACGGCAGCGGCACGAGAAGCAGCCAACTGAGCGCTGCAGCACGCGGCCATCCAAGCCTTCCAGCCGATTATAGCGCTCTGCCGCCCCCCGCCCCGGAGGCTAAACGCCTAGCGCTCTGTGGGGCTTCAAGGTGCTAAAGTGCCCTGTACGGAGCACCTCTACGGACAATTTTAGGTCCCGCGAAGAAACCGGCCAGCTTTGACCACCAACAGCTTCAATGCTGCCCAGACTTGGCTCAGACATCAAACATACATGCGTCTCGACACCGGTTATAACGCTTCAGCAGCCTGGGAAGCAACCGTTGCAAAAGTCTATATATCCTGGACCCCAGGGCTTGTCCCTGTACAGGTAGTATTACTACCAGTAAGTCATCAAAAGCTATGCCATTGATGCCATCCCATGCACGGGGTATTCGCGGGATTACTACTGCTCGGCAATGCAGAACTGACAAGTAGCAGATCGTCGTCCATGACCACGAGCTTCTCCAAGCGCCCAACCTTCTATAGGTAGTCATTCTCTTCATTAGAGCCTCGTTCCGTGCTTCCTTAGCTGAAGAGTAACTCGGCCAACAACGCCGAGTTTACAGCGGGTCGAACTTGAGTTCACAGACGGCTTCTCCGCCTCGTTTGGTAGCACTTTGCCTGTCTCCGGCTTCTTGATAGGCCAGATACACAGCCAGAGAGCGGTGTACACGCCGATGCATTCAACCCGCTAAATTATTGTTTACCCAAACCTTCGAGCCCAGCAGCTTTGATCCAGCCAATGCCCATGCCCTGATCGCCGCGGCTTAGCCTTACCGTTATCACCGACAACCAAATTGTGGACGTCTGCCCGCAATGGAACGTCTTGGCCTCGATGGAGCATTTTTCATTGGAGAGAATTACGCAAGTGTTGTTGGCCCTACGGAATATTTGAATGGAGAGTAGTGCTACTACCTAGACTACTCCGGACTCGCCCTGATGTTTGCGCGAATGGGTGTGCATCACCGTCGGCCATGTGAAGAGCACTCTGCGTGTTGGCCGATGCAGCGCAGGCACTCGAGACTCCAATATGGCCACGTTCCAAGTACCTACTCCCTACGGGCAGCGCCGGCAGTGTCTGTACGGAATACTACTAGTACCACTGCTCCGTGCTTCTTCTTGCACGGATTTCGCATCCATCCATGCTACGATGCAGGGAATGCTGAAGACGGCCCTACCCGCGTCTTACACCTCGGCAGTCTGCTGACCCTGTCATGATCGGACAAGGAGGTACTCTCGCTGCCTCTTGACAGAGGAAAATACATACATGCCTACATGTGCTACAAGTACAAGATGGAATCGACAAATCTTCGTCGCCAGGACTAATGCCCACTGCCAAATCTGTGGTCCGCCGATGGCGCAACTCTTCCCACGTGGCCCAAAATTGCCGAGCCTCTTGCGGAAAATTTCGTGTGGCATTTCCTTTTCTACAAACTACTTGTACTTACTGATATCAGTAGTCATTCTCCGTTCACACCACGGCTTTGTACAAGTGTATACACCGAGTCACGGGGCTTTATATGCGCTGCGACGTGAGTGCCGTCACATCCATTCTCTTAGTTCGGTCTACAACTACTAGCAGCAGTAGCAGCATTTACCTATTACTGCTTGTTGATGCAAAGGCAGGCAGGTATGGAATACTGTAGATGCTTTGGCGCCGAGTCTAGCTTCTTGGATGACATCTTTATGCGTATTGTATGTCAAAATGTCAAAAAGCTTCGTGGATCCTTCTATGAACAGGGATTACGCGACTAGGACAGCCCAGCGATAAGGTAGGACCAGGCGCAACATTCACTCGATTCGGTGCCCCTGCACCCTCTCCCTCATGCGGAGCTCCCATGCTACCTACACCAAGAACCTTGTGCATACGAGGACGGCGCAGGACTGCCCGCAGCATCAGCATTATGAGAGAAGACGCCGCGAGACTCTTGCATCCTCCAATAAACAGCCGTGGTCTAAATGCAAGATCCCGCCGGCGCCAGGCCTTACCCGTACGAGTCCGCCAGGTTCCCCGAGAAGAGGCAGAAAGGCCTCCATGAACTTGTCGTCGCTACGCTTTCAGCTAGTGCTGCTTTTTCGCTACTCGATGTCCGATATTGCGTATTAATTACTTAGTACTATGTATAGATTTAGCATGAGTAATTTTCCGGTCGCTTGTTTTGGAAGTTGGCTAATACGGCAGATAAATAAAGCAAATCAACCCTGTGTCTTACACCTAGGAAATTCTTCTTTTTCTCTCTCTTTTCCCCTTTCTGGTGGGTTGCGTATACCTGTTGAGAACCGAGCAGCGAGACCCGAGCAGCGAAATGCATACGAGTGCAAGTAAGACACGAACAGCCCTCAACCCGGGACGAGCGGCCCATGATGGTTTCTTAAAAGCCTAAAAGCCGCGTTTCTCGGGCACTGCAACGCCCGGGAATGTCCTCCGGGACCGAATAGTTGCTACAATATCTTATGTAGGCGGTAGGTAGTATAGTACCAGTATCTCGATGCTCTCGCGTACCTAGCTTTGAGATTGTCGCAAGTTCCCACCTCAAACGTCATGCTCGATGTCACCATGTCAAACAGTTAGTACTACTGCCCTCTCCGAGTAGGAGACCTTGTTAGCCAATGAGATGAACACTGGATGAGTTGGAAAAAACGCCAGTGTTACATTTATGCCCACTGTTGCTTGTAACAGCCACAAGTAAAAGGTTTAGTTGTTGAGTAATAGGCGGGCATCAAGAAAAATTAGAGACAACAAAATGAATTCGTATATAGAGTATACGGCGAAGATGTTTTACGCTCATACACGTATTATCTAGCCGTATGTAGCTGCCAATCATTTCTTTCTCGATATCGTTCTTCTTGATATCTTTGAGTAAATTGGTAACTAGAGAAAAAGAGAGGACATGTATCAAACTCCATTGAAGTCCTTTTGAACCTCCTCAATCAGCTTGCAGCTACAATAATACAATAACGTTCATGTTGTGAAAAGATCCTCCTGTATATGTAAATTTCCTTTTTCCAATATTTACTGTTGTACATGGTGTATATTCGTACACTTTTTATCTTTCTTTTTTTTCTTGTCCTCCGCCTCTGCCACTTCTCTCATTCCAATTGCGTAAAACTCATGAGCATCATATTTTTCCCGTCAGCCAATCCCTCTCCTTGTTCCTACCCGCGTTTCCATAGCCCGTCACTGGCAAATCGCGCTTCTTCAGCTCCTCCTCAATCACCTTCCAGCGTCCTACGGAGATCTCCCTGTCAATGGGTCCAATCTTTCGGTCGTGCACGGTGACATTGGTCAGCTCGTTGAAGGCATTGCGCTTCTCGAGCATCTGGGCTAGTTTCAGCGGTTTGGGGTCCCGGGTTGCGAGGGTGAGGATGTGCTTTGTGGTGTTTGCGGCGGCGAGTTTGGCGTCTGGGATGAGGGTTCCGGTGAGCTGGTAGAGACGCTTGCGGAGCTAGATGTAAACATAAGAGTCAGTCACAGTTCGTCAAACATTGTCCTGATCGCCCATTGTCATGAGCTTTGGGGGTCGGGTGCACAATATGCATCCTCGTAGGGTCTTCTTCTCGGTGAGAATAGACATACCGCAAATCGTAATGAGTTGTCCAGCGCAATGCTTTTCCATGAGGGATCCCACGACTTGATCATCTCTTTTGCCTCCTCAACAGAAATCTTCTCTGCAGACTCAGCTTCTGACAATCCGCTCGTCAGAGCCTCCACAACCGATGAGGCGTCTCCCTTGAGAGTAGCCTTGCCGTCCTGCACCTCGATCTGCAGGGCCAGTGCTTGCTCCAGCTCGTTCCTCGACCCCGCCTCTGACCACTTCTTCGTGGCCCATTCTGAAAAGACTCCCGTCTGTTGTAATGCCAGTGCTTCGATAACGGCTCGTCGCAGATAGACCTCCAAGACTTCCCTCTCCACGACCTTCTCCGCGCTGCCAAATCCCTTGAAGACACTCTCTTCTCCCCAGTGCCCAGGCTGCTCCCACCACGTGCTCAGCGCCCCAATCTCCTCCAGGCCCTCCGCCTCCGTAGCAGGCACATACGTAGGGTCAGATGCCTGCAGTTCCTTCTCGGTAGGAGCCTCGCTCCGTCTGTACGGCAGAGCCAGCCGGGTGTCTCGCACGGCCGCGGGCGTCTTGTCCTGTCGGGGCCGGCTCTCGAGCGCCTCCTCGGGCAGGTTCGACGTCGTCTCGGGCTCCATGCGCTGCGTGTAGGGATCAGCAGGGCCAGGCGCATCACCCTTCCAGAGCTTTCCTCGGATCCATTCGGTGTTTTTGCCCTGCGAGGGGCTGGTCGTCGAGATGGCGCGGGCAGCGGCGAAAGAAGGTCTGCTTGCGGCGCATTGTGACGGCAGCGACAATTGCAGAGACTGGAGTCTCTGCATCCTCGTTATTCGTGCCATTGGCAAAAGTATGTGTCGGGAAAGCCTCTAAATGGTTCCCCCAAAGCGTCGTCTGTAGATTTTTGTGATATAAGCGGTTTTGGAGAATGGGCTGCAACTTTTCCATGTCAAACGTGGGGCCGAAGGGTGGCGGTTACGGACCAACCAAAGCGCAGGAACGTTAAAAAACGGCCCCACATTTGGGACCAGCCTCGCAGCCGCCATTTGGTAGAGCTACACGGCCTTCTACTTGGGAGAGGCAGCGAATGTCAGCTTCCTCCAATTCATCGCGACAGCCGCTCTATCAAGGTGCATCGGCCCGCAAATGCGCCCAGAGCCGCCATGGCGCGAATTCATCTCCTCGTGCTGCTCCTCGCCGCATTCATAGCTCTGGCATCGGCCTCCTGTAAGTGAACAGCTTCGCCGCGCAGTTCTGTCGATGCGTTCTGACTCTCTTTTGCCATCAGCCGCGCAGAGATTCTGCAAGTGCACATGCTTTAAGAACAGCACCATCATTCCACTCGGTCCGCAGCACCAGTCCGACAGCCGGGCTATCCTCTACGACGCATCATTCTCTCCCCAAAACCACGTCCCCCGATCGGCGACGTCGTCATGCTCCGAGTGTACCAAAGCGTTTTGCCTGAGTCAAGGGATAGCCTTCTGCAAGGACGCGGAAGAAGATGATGTTGTGACCATGTGCTTCCAGCGCGATAGCAACAAGGACAAGATCATTGTGTGGGGATTTATCTTCGGGACGCTGGGACTGCTGGGCTGGGCTGCGTTCAAGAGGGTGCTAGAATGGAGGGAGGCTCGATCAATAGGACGGACAGGCGCCAGTTACGCAGGCGTGGGCAGTAATACTCGATAGCATATACGTTTCAATGCGACATTTTACAATGCAAAAGGGTCATGAACATTTGGATTATTCATAATGAGCAACAAACTTGGACGCATTTAGGCTCTTGACGCGCAAATGTTGCTTGTAAATCAATGCTAATATTCTAGAAAGGCTTTTGTATGCCATTGCAGCTATGGCTGAAGATGAAATATACTTTTGATTGTTCCTTCATTGCGCCATTGTGTTTCTTCCATTTGAACGCACTCCTTTAGACCGTGTTTGGCCCAGGAAAAAGCCAGCCGCAGCTCGCATACGCTTTAGGGGTTGTGACTCGAAGTCATCAAACCAACCCCTGTTCTTTATCCTTTTTTGTTCCTTTTTTCTTCCGATTTTTAATTTGAACTACTCCATACGGCACCAGTCCATTTAATCCTCCTCCAAAGTGCTCACCTTGGCCGCCTCGCTGGGCACGCCTGAGTTGACCTTTCTTCTGGCGCGAACAGAAGAAGCAAGGTCTTCCAGAACAGTGATGGTGTGCTCCCAGTCGATGCAGGCATCGGTGATACTGACGCCACGCTTCAGACCGGCGGGACCCTCAGAGGGAACCTTCTGGTTGCCCGCACCGATGTTGGACTCGATCATGACACCAACAATGGCGCGCTCACCTTCCCGGACCTGGTCGGCAATGACCTTGGCAACCTTGGGCTGGTTGTTGTGGTCTTTCTGAGAGTTGCCTGCGGTCCTGTTAGTCAACTATTTCTATCGAATACCTTCCAGCGCAAAGGAAGACTTACCGTGAGAGCAGTCAATCATGATGGCCAATTTCTGGCCCTTGTCCTGCAGCATCTTCTTGGCTGCCTGAACACTGTCCTTGTCGAAGTTGGGGCCCTTGCTTCCACCTCTCAGGATAACGAAGCCGTGCTCGTTGCCCTTGGTGCGAGTAATGGCAGCGAGACCCTGTTTTGTGACACCCATGAAGTGGTGCTTGGCGGCGGCAGCGCCAATGGCGTCAATAGCAACGCCAAGGCTACCGTCGGTGCCGTTCTTGAAGCCAATGGGGAAAGACAGACCGGAGGCAAGCTCACGGTGAAGCTGGGACTCGGTTGTTCGGGCACCAATGGCGCCGACGGAGATGCAGTCGGCAAGGAACTGGGGGGAGATTGTGTCGAGCATCTCGGTGGCAATGGGCATGCCGTTGGAGGTCAGGTCGACGAAGAGCTTGCGGGAAACGCGCAGGCCCTTGTTGATCTGGAAGGAAGAGTCGATATCAGGGTCGTTGATCAGGCCTTTCCAGCCAACGGTTGTGCGAGGCTTCTCGAGGTAGGCGCGCATGATGATGCAGAGCTCGCCGGAGAGCTTCTCGGAGAGCTGCTTGAGACGGCCAGCGTATTCGTGGGCAGCTTCGGGGTCGTGGATGGAGCAGGGGCCGACTACAACCAGTAGTCTGTCGTCCTGGCCCATGACGATGTTGGCGGCATCTGTTCTGCCCTTGATAATGGTCTCGGCGGCAGTGGGGGTCATGGGGATCTCAGAGAGCAGCAGAGCCGGGGGGATCAACGGATCCTGACCCAGAACTATCAAACGTATGTTAGCACACCATGCTACGAGGCGCGAATCGTTCTATGTGCAGAATGCCATGGCCGAACTACCCCAATGGCGCAAAAGACCATTGGTAGCAGCATCGGCGCAACATGTGCTGAAAAAGCCCAGGCGCATTGCAAAGTGCCCAGCGCCACGGCATCGGCCGGGACAGCTGGATGAGGCTTTCGCAGGTTGGAGTAACTGGAATTTCGCTTATACGTACTTCTGGTGTCATCTGTAGTGATAATTGCATCAACGCCAGGCATTTTGTCGAGTGTTGCTGTATGTGGTGTAAGATGCGAAAGGGAAAAAAATTAGAGATTTGGCTTTTAGGGTGGGGTGTTTTGCGATGTCGGGATTGAGCCAGATGCAATTGTCACTACACAAGCTGCTGAACGGGGTATAATGGATATTTGAGCAGCAATGGAGTCAATTTTCAGCGTGATGTACGTGAAAATGAAGAGACAAGAATTGATATAAGTCAGAACGTATTTCTAGAAGACGGCCCGTCCAAGATAAATACCATTGCACGGGAGTCCAATGAGTCAGATTGACCCTTGGACAATATCTCGGAGGCCATGCTGCCTTGCTACCGGCCGTGCTTCGGAGGAGTGGAGTGGTGGATGCGGCGTCACAGAAAAAAGAGAGGGTCCATCCACCACAGCATGGATGTATGTACGTCAGTTTAGCTCCGGGAGTGGCCAATTGATGGCTCGCAATTGGACCATTGTCTTGCGAGTTATCTCAGCCCTCTAGCAACAAAGTTTTTTTTGCTTTTTTTTTCTGTGATGGCCGTTCCACGAGCCTAAAAAGGGACGGCTAGCTAAAATTGACGTGGGACTAACACATGCCTCCTAGAGTGTGGCTGCGGAACTGGATGCTAGTATTGTTGTTTATTGATGCTTTCTGTTTCTGACTTGATTGCATTGGCTGCTATTTGGCTCTGTCTTTCTCTCATATTCTTCGGGCTCTCGAGCTTGGCGCTTTCGCAATGGGTTTATTCTACTGACACGGTTATTGATGCTGATCAAGCATCCGGCGTCCAGCGTCCAGCATCCAGCATCCTGCCTGTACATTCGAGCAGCATGCCGCTGGGCAGTAAGCTGACGACGCCGCATGGGATTACTACAATACTACACACCTTCCGCTCTGGTCCAGATCTTGCGGCGATGATGTATCCCACTCTAGATGGACGAGCCCTGGCCTTTGGCGAGGTGTTTTTGGTCGTACGGCGGGCCAGCCCGTAACCACCCAGTGCATCAAGTAGAGAGGTGTGATCAGGCAACAGGGCATTACTGGACTGGGCAGTGCCTAGAGCACCCAATCCAATCCCAATGCCTCTCGTAAGCATTCCTACAGGCTGTAATACTCGTAAGCTGCGACTTGCTTTGCTTCTGATAGTGGGATTGCTTCCGAGTGGCCTGCTGTCAGCACGGCGGGAGGCGGGAACATGGGAGCTAATTGATCACCACATGTATATCCATGTCGATGTCGCTCAGCGGGTTTTATAATCCGGCGCTTGCGGGATCTCAAAAGACGGTCAGCATTCTATGCTGACTGCTGCCCTTTTTTGCATTGGTGATAAATGGCAGTATTGCCGTTTTGAGGTCTACGTTGTTTCGGTACGTGCATTAGATTCGATTCTTACCTGTGGGAAGCCATCTTAGATGTGCCTGGCGGCTAAGCTTAGGACAGAAATTGTTTCTTACCCTGCAGGATGCATGTCAGTTACAAATTCTCCGCGTCGCAGGGCAGCAGTACTAGTAGTGATAAAATACGAGTACTGTATGATGCGAAAAGAATGTTCTCGTTGAGCTGTAACATTGTCGGATTTTATGATCAGCTAACTCGTTCGATCTGCCCTTTGCATTCAATATTATGTCGCAGCATCCTTGGCAGTTCGATGAGTCTATGTGATTCATACATACTAGTAGTAGTGTCTTTGTCTAAAAACCATGGGTTGCGTGTAGCGTACCCTAGATGCTCTATAAGAGGACAAACCGGAGATTTGTTGTGCACATGTAGACTAATTCGAAAACAGGGTA